GTCCAACTCCGCTACTGGAAAATGCTAGAGGCTCGCGAAGATTCTACCTCTATGACTAATCGGCACTCCCCGCCGTTCCAGCTGCTTCCAGTGCATCAGCGGCAGACATTCCGTCGTATGCTTGTACATTCGAGACGCGGTCCGGCTGTTTCCACACGTCAGCGTTGCTTCGAACACGAGTTGGTTGCCATGTGAAGGCCGCGTGCGTACACAGGCACAGGGTCGGATTAGGGATATCATGACAATATGTTAGTTTTTTGAGCCAAAGATTACATCTAGCTCATTAATGGTAGAACATTTCTCTAAATAATGATCTTTAGGGGGTTCTCTGATTTTCACTAACATGAGCTTTGGAAAAAAGAAGTTGAGGCAAGGAACCATTTACTTTATAAGGTTAAAAAGCTAGCAGGGAAACAGCGCAGTAGTAGTCAGTTAAAGTTTTAATATAGTTATTCGGCAAAATATTTGCTTTAGATGGGATTTAGTCTCGCAAACGTTTACAAATATGTATTTATTATTATAAGACACTCTTACAAAAAGGCAGTGGTAAAATAAACACATTTAGCATGCGAGTCTAAATATAATTTTTGTATCAAAACATCACTAGCTTCATATAAAATAAACACATTTAGCATGCGAGTCTAAATATAATTTTTGTATCAAAACATCACTAGCTTCATATAAAATATTGAGCTAGCAACGAGTCAAAACACATTTTTTTTTTCTTTTTAAAGGCAGGCCTTTAAATTCAAACGTTTTTTGCGTATAAACATTCTATCAAATTTACGTGTTTCCTCGGATAGACATTTTAATAATTATATAAAAACAATATTGAGAAAACTCACCAATGTAAACAAAAATACAACCTGTTACCATGCAGTCTAGATACAAAAACCTTAACATTAACAATCACAAAATTAGAAATTATCTTATAATTTAAATAATAATAATCATGATGATAGTCACTGCAAACACGTTGAAGTGTTTTTGTCCACAAAACTATTAAAATAAATAAAAAAATTAAAATAAAAAATAAGAACCAAAAAAAAGAGCATGCACAAAATCAAGCTGAGATCAGCAGTAAAAAGATTCAATTATATTTTAATAAATTTTATCTACAACCACTACAATAAATCGTATATTATGTATCGTTTGATTTATAAATAAATACATCATTACAGATACTGTTACGTAATGAAATCCCAAAACTGTTACGTAATTATATATATATTACATAACAGTTTCATTTATCAAACTATCCATATTAATCCGTTGCTAGGTGATCACCATGGTTACGGTAAACAGTTCTGACATTTAAGAAATAGAAAAATCCCCATTTGTTGCTGTTACAAATTATTTTTTTAAAGAATAAAATGAGTTTGTCAGATAATAAAAACGAATTTCAAGGAACTCCTGATATTCTTGAAAAAGCTGCTAATATTACTAACAAGTTATACTCTTTAAAATCAAGAGCAAGGCATGAAATAGTATACCAAAAGCTTATGGACTGACGTATGAAAAAAAATGTAATCTAATTCTTTGAGAATGTGCTTTTGGCATATTTTGGGGAACTTACGGAACAATTCAAACCTGCATCATTTTAGGCATTGTATTCTATGTCAAGAATCGTCATTTCCATATAAAATAAAGTGAATTTTGAAACGTACCGAAAATTAAAAGCAGTCAGATGGTTTTTAAAAGCAGAAATTGATTTGATAAAATAAGTAAATATTTAAATGAAACTCTTGATTCACAATAATATTAACAAAGGTTGGTCTTTAAAACAATATTTCTTCAGTTAATTTAGTAGTTGCATTTGCAATATACAATATTTTTAATGAGATGTATTTAATAAATGTTATAGATTACGAAAACCTTCTCGTTATTAAGAATGTATGATTGTGGTTGTAGATAAAGTATAGTACATTATTCGAGTTGTAAGAGCAATTACATGCTCGTAGAATTACTGCACTCGCCGCTAACGCGGCTCGTGCACAACTTTTCTACTCGCTTGTAATTAACTTCTTACTACTCTTGTTATGTGATATACTATTACAATTTACAAATTTAAAATTGGGGTGGTAATGTGATTTTCCTGAAATTTGATATTTATAAATTTAATATAAATTAAAATATTACATGTATCTTCTCTTAAATTAGATTTTAAGTGAAGTGAACACAAAAAATATATTTATTAATTTTTTATTAATACTAATGTACTGAATATATCAATATTTGTTATAGTTATTTTATATTTTAATACATATTAAAAAAAAAAAAAAAGAAACTAAAAATGGCTTTTCCTACGACCACTTAGGAAAGTGACACATATCACACTATATAGACCTATGGAAAGTGCCCTATATCACACGCGTATGAATAAGAATTTACTTTCCACCCAAGTGAGAATATGCTACTTTCCGCAGTAGCTGTCAGAAAATGTCAAACACATAATTTCTATTTTGATCTATGTAATGTCCATATTAATACTAAAATCGATATGATTGTTAAATTATTGTAAATTAGATTAGATCCTAGATATTTATCTTTAACAATTATTTTTAAAATAATTTTAAAATAACTAAGATATATTTGCTTTTTATTCTGGTTAAACACATAAGCGATTAGATCAATCAATTACCGTAAGGCCTGTTAGCTCAGTTGGTTAGAGCATCAACTTTGCAATTTGAGACCGTCCAACGACCGCGATCGAATCCTGGCTGTGCCAGAATTTTTTTTTTATTTTTTTTTTATTTTTTTTTATTTGTTTAGAAATTATGAAAATTTAATAAATACGATTATTGTTGATTATTTTTTTAAATACATTTTAATTATTATAATAATCTGGTTTTACATTTTTTGATGAAATTATTTTGTGGTCGTAGGAAAAATATTGTACATCACTTGTGTGAAAAGTGATTTTCCACACTCTTAATGTAATATACTATTCCTTGCACTAATATCAGAAATATATAAATTTCTGGAAAGAAAATTTTAAATTTTTAATATTTTCATTAATTTTTCATATTTGATTCATTAGAATTGAAATTATTCTATGTCCACACCTTTGCATTACACATTTACGTCATATGTCAAACTCGAGATAGTCAGTTTTGGTGGAATAAAGGACATTTTTTTAAATAGCTGCATTTAAATTGTATAAAAATATGTTCATTCTGTCAATCATCAAATATAAAAATACTGACTTCAAATAAATCAAAGTACGTCTCGAAGTCGCCATTTTGATTACACTTTTCATCACTCTTAATGCCGCGTTTGAATATCCACATGGGATGCATCTGAGATATTGTAAATCTTTGATCACATGATTCAATATACGTAAATGTAGTAGGACATATGTGTCCGATTTGGATAAACAAACGCTCGAGACTCGAGATGTAAAAATGCATCCAATGTGGATATTCAAACGAAGCATATAATATGTCCATGTGTCATATCACAAAATAGTGTTTATGTCGTCTCTACTTCTTTTGTTCATTTCCAAGTATCGGTTGTAATTGTATCAACCATTTTCACTCTTTTTTATGACCGTTGTTTGTGTTTACTATTTTGCATTGCTTTTATTTTTTTGTACCAGTAAAAAAGCAGCTTTTTCAATAGATCCCCTTTTATCTTAAATTTTTGTAATAATTTGTACTTATGCTATAAAAATTCAAAATGTTAATCATCTCTTCAAAAAAATCACTCTCACTATCAGACTTGGTATCTATCACTAATGTCTTCATTGCGTATATTTACATGTTCCAAACTTTCAAAAGCATTGGAATAATTGACGAAACATATTTTTTAAAGAATTTAAAAATATCTCAAAAAGAATATCGATGGCTCAATCAAAAACCGCCACAAGTCAAAAAACAAATAAAATTACATTTTTGGTTCAATAGATGCAAAATATCATTGTCTAAAACTGCCTCAATTCGAGTTATTTTGTTTTTACAAACTATGCAATCACTCGCTTTTATAATCATAATCGTTACTTTTAACAGCAAAATATCGAAGCTGTTAAATAAAATAAAGATTTTATGTCAAAAACAAAACAATGATAATAGAGACTTTATTTTAAAATTTCTCGAAACAATAGTACTTTAGTTGTGGCCGTTGTGGCAGTATTTGAGTGAGCCATCGATATGTTATTATTTTAAGATAGGAGGCTGTGATTTCATATTTAGGCCAAAATATTGTTCCTATATTTTACTCTTGAACCAAATTCATATTTTTCACTTTCCTGGTACATTGTATTTTTTTTTTTTTTTTGAGATATTTTAAGTGAAACACCAACTTTTATCAATATTTTTTTTTCAAAAATCAATACCTAAGAAATTTTATTTCCATATTGTGCAACGCTTTTGATAAACACTGTATTGCATTGTAATCAGTTCTTCGTGAAAACTTTAAGCATTTAGTTCTTTCAAAGACTGAATTTCGTTAAGCCAAAATTTGTAATTATTTGCAGGGTAGCCTTTCAGGTAAAGCTGTAAAAACCTGCAATAATTTTGAAGTCTTATTTGAAACAGCAAAAATACACGTGTATTTCCTTCAACATTTTTATTAAAATAGCACTTTCAGCATTAAGCCATTGTCAAGCAAAAGACATCCACTAATATCGGTTGCCATCCTAAGTTGTCAACATTTCTTCTTTTTTTGTTGTAAATTTACACATAACCATTAACATCTTTTGGTTCCCAGCCAATGGGCAACCAATTTTACTTTAGAAAGGGTCTGCCTAAAAATACAAGTGGCTATAAAACACTGTATATAATTTCCTTTTATAAATCATTGATTGATATTATGAAAATTAATAGGACAATATTCAAAACCTGTACTCCTAATATAATCACAATTGACGCTGATTTAAACCCATTATTAGGTACATGTTAAAGTAAAAGTAATTAGAACATCTTAGGTACTGCATATTTTTTGTCTAAAGTCCTAAATGTTGTTAAAATTTCACAGTATTATGATCATTATTTCTTTTTCAGAGGAAGACTTTCACGGTTCCTACTCAAAAATAGTCCTGAAATATTTTCTTGCCGAAGGTATTGTTTCCAAACATTCTACGTTAATAGCTAGTCAAGATGTTAATCCTTCCAATATTGTAAGTACACATTATTATCGATTTATTAAAATCGTGTTAACCGACGATTCTTTTTGTTTTTTTAGATCAAAGAATTACCTGCTGTGATTGATAGTGATTTAGATTCGACGGAGATTTCAAAAATTTCCGGCATTAGTGATAAAATGAAGATAGCGTTCCGATATCAAAATTTACCGACCGCTGATAGTGCCAGAAATCAATATAGGCACATCGGTCACCTGTATGACCTGTCAAAGAATATGTCATTTAGCGACATAGAAAATTCCGATATATGCTATTGGAATGGACAGAGGATTGAAAATGGTAAGTCTTTTAAAATGATCCTTTAATGCCCCATAGTTTAGATAGAGATAATATTGGATGACAAAACACATCCTAATGCTTTCTACAGACTAGAGAAAAACGTAATTTTATGTTGCCTATCTTCACAGCTATGCCATTTTTATTAATATTATTGAGTTAGTCCCTTTTTTGTTGATAACAGTTTCTAAATTAATTTATTTATAATGGGCAATGCCCTCTTTGTCAATTTTACTGTGTTAGTGCCATCTTTTTGTTGATAACAGTTTCTAAACTTATTTTAATTATACTAGACAACTAAAATGTTTACTTTGAAAGTGTACACAGTTTATTGTTTAACAAATAATGTTTCTAAGAACTGTGATATTTGTATTTAAAATTGTATAAACATTATTATCGTCAATTCAACAGTTCATCGATATTCTTAATTGTCCCAAAATCATCAAACATTAACTTTTTGAATATTTTGATTAATGATTTTGTGTAGCATAATATGTATATAATTTTCTGCCGCAGATATTCATGATAATCCCAAAACTAGCAAACATTTTTTTAATTACTCAATATGTATTGGATTTAGATAAACATTTTTTGAATCTTATATTTGCAATGTTTCAATTATAGTAATCAAAACAAACTTTTATCTTTATCACCTAGCTACTGAATTTCTTTGAATGATGACTTAGTTATTTAATAATATATTCATAATTAGTATTCTCCTAAAAAAATGTAAATTATGAGAGGCATTATTTTTAAATCAACAAATCATTTCTATTTGTAGATTTTTTTTTATTTAACAAAGTTATGTGTACATTTTTGCATATATTATATATAATACAGGTATTAAAAACAATAAAAGAAATATACGTTATTCTTTGAACATTTCATAAAGGTCTAAGTTTTGACAATCTGTACAGGGTGACAATTATAATATGGCTGGAGGGGGACACATTAATATCTTTCTTTGGAACAAACATATGATTTCGAATTGACACTTAAAAAAATGACCATTTTGCGATTTTACAGGAAATGCCATTAAGTTTGATTTTTTAAATGGATTACCATATATATTTTTATTTTTTTTTAATTTATGGCTCATATTACATAGGACAGGGTTACTAATTTTTTAAATTTTTCCCAAATATCAAAAGGGAGATTTAAGGTGTTGATACACAGATCCATCCACGATTCTACGAACACGGTAAAACTGATGACCAATTTACACTTGTCCGCAACTGTCATTCCAAAACTTTAGCATTACATTTTTGGTATAACTTTATAAATATCACGATACAATTTTGTGAATAACTGAATATTTTGTAAATAAATGAAAAGAAAGAACAACAATAACAAATGGAACTAAATGATAGAACATAGTTGAGATTTTTGTGTAAATTCTCGATTATACGAGAAGTAATGCCTGACGTTTTGTTAGGCAATAATACGTCGAGTTTTGAGAATTTTCAATTGTCGAGTTGTAAACTAGTATGAATAGCATTGAAACATTTATGAAAAATAAAAATACTGCAAACAGAACATTTGGTTATAACCTACGAAGCTTTTCTTCCATATTTCTTATAACATTTCTTATTACAGTCCACGCACTTTCTTTTTCGTTTTTTATGGAGTAATGTTTCGATATTTGAAGTACATTTTATATTGTTGATGGAGCAGCTTCAGCTTGGTCTTCAGCACGATTTCTTTCAAGCATTTCAGTGATTACTTCCTCCACAAACTCCGTGATGATCATCTTCTTTTTGCTGTGTATTCATTATATAAAAAAATGTGCATTTACCAAATTTGTCCCATAAATAACTTCAAATGAAAGTTTAAGGTACCATTTTGGTACCATCAGATCAGTTAGATCAAATGATGATTTTATCCATGATTTTACTCAGAAATGCATTCAGGTTTTACTATGGGTACATTTTTTGATATTACTGGGGGTCGTTATTCATACAAATTTATGTTTTACTAGAATGCATTATTTCATTGTTTTTTTGCATAACAGACATTTCAAATGGACATTTATGACATTCTTTGGTAGATACTTTTGATTTGCTCTAAGCATACCCACTCAATGAGTATTTTATTATTATCTGTTTATATAGTTCTTCCTTCGTCTGAGTTACAGGATCCCTTGAAATACCGAAATGACCCATCATAACCAGCAGTTTATTTTATCTGCAACAGAGGATGGCAAACAAGTGGACTCTATCTACACTGATCTGTCTAAAGCTTTCGACAGCGTTTGTCATTCCTTGCTGTTAGATAAATTGAAGAGGATGGGTATTATCGGCAACTACCTTGAATTTATTCATTCCTATTTAACTGAACGTCGTCAGAGAGTGAATTTATGTGGTTTCACATCTAGCAAAATTTTGATACATTCTGGTGTGCCACAGGGCTCGCATATAGGACCTATAATTTTCATACTTTTTATTAACTATGTAACAACTTGTTTTAATAACTCCAGTTACCTCCTATATGCAGATGACCTAAAAAAAATTTCAATCGTCAATGACGTTTCAAACAATCACAATCAGATCTCAGCGATTTGGTTCAATGGTGCAATAAAACAGAATGATTATGTCATTGCAGGTTCTGAACTAAGTGTTGAGCAAACTATAAATGATCTTGGTGTTATTTTCGACAGGGACCTATCATTTATTCATCATTTGGAAGAAATTGTAAATAGAGCTTTTTGACTGTTGGGCTTTGTCAAAAGGAACACCAAGCACATTTATGACACGGCAGCTCTGAAGAGTCTCTACAACTGCCTAGTTAGAAGCATTTTAGAATACTGATCAGTGATTTGGGCACCTAACAATTAATAATAATAATAATAATAATAAATAAACTTTATTCACCAATTTTCAAAAAAAAAAAATAAAATTACAATCTGAAGAGCATAACAATTATTGGTGAAAAGGTGCAAGATCAGTATGAAACTGTTCTTCCTCTTGAACAGAGGAATAATAATATTAAAAAAAAAAATAAAAACAATAATAATCATATTGATAGATTAGAAAGAGTGCAAAATAAATTTTCGAAGTATCTACTATATAAACATATGCTTCCATCGCAAAATATAAATTACCAAACCAGAATTCTGTTGTGCGGACTTAAGAGTTTGGAATGCAGACGTCGAGAAGCATCGCTTGTTTTCCTGTATAACTTATTGAACAGTTTGATTGATATTGACAGCCTGGTACATTTTATTAGATTCCTTGTTCCTGTCAGACTTACTAGGCATATTAAACTATTTTATGTAAATACTCATAGAACTAACTATGGACAGAATTTATTTGTAGACCGACTGATGTCCAATTACAATAAGTATTTTTCAAATTATGACATTTTTAATGCAGGTTTGTTTTCTTTAAAGCGTCAACTTTCATTACACTATTGACTTCATTTTTATTTTATTTTAATTGATATTTTAAATGTACCATTTAGAACTTTATGTATTTGTACCTAGTTTGTAGACCTTGATGCCATATTTGGCTGCTTCGTTTGGAATGTACTGCTGGAAAATCAATTTTCCACGCAAATCTTTTCGACAAATAGTAACTTCTGATAATTAGGAATAAATGTATATAAATTCCCTTACTTTGTAGTCTGTCACTAGAATCAGCAATAGAATTATAAGCAATATAAGCTCGAATCGGTTTGTGGGCATTACTGTTCAAGCTAAGAGAATGCTATAAAGTTTATGCGTCCACTAATAATCTTTTATTATGCCCATCCAACCAAGAAGAGTTAGAGACCTATCAAAGTGGCAATGTTGGCAGAGTACGCTTTTGTGCCATTATTTAAAAAAATTAAATACTTATGGGTTCAACACTCGGTGCTGGATCCAGCAGACCAAAAAATGTGCTGAATCCAGCTGAATTGCTGCATGAGGGCTCCAGCAATTGCAATTGCGAGAACTGGCTGGGAACTTTATGTAGATTTTCTCGACAGCAATACTAGACTTGGGATGGATTATGTCTGGCAACGTCGACTCATCTGTGGACACAACATTGTAAAAAAAATTGTTAACTTTTTTCATTACTGCCTCGCTAAATTCCATTCGTCTGATATAGGGGTCTATTCTGTAACAATTCCTTTATATTTAACGGCCTTTAAAAATACTTTCTTCTTTACTTCTGTCATTATTTAAACGGATCTTTAAAATATATTAGAGGACTATCTTAAAGAAATCTGTTTAAATAATGACAGAAGTAAATTAACGATTACGAACATATTTTTATAGGCCGCCAATATTTTTAAAGGCCGTTAAATATAAAGGAATTGTTACAGAATAGACCCCATTGTCAGTTTCATAAGATTTTATAAGATAAATATCCATGTTTTAAAAAATTATATTTATTGTGGTTTCACTGAAACCTACACCTCTCTTTGAGATATCGGATTTTCTTCCTCAGTTGCACAAATCCATAATATCCCTATCTTCTTTTTTCATTCTGTTTATGGATAACTCAAGCCTTTTCTGTTCATTAAGAGATACGCATTTCAAAATTTTGAACAGTACTATGTACTGTCATATGTAAGGTATAGAAAAATAGTTGTTAAAATAAATCAAACTCAATCAAATGAAGCAGTTGTTAATCTGGGAGTTCCTCAGGGCTCTGTACTTGGACCACTTATTTTTTTATTGTTTATTAACGACTTCCCAGAATTTATGGATGCAAACTGTAAGGTTATATGCTAATGATGTTTCCTTCGTAACTTATGGTAATTCTCCTGAAGAACTAGCAGATAAATTAGGTCAACTCTATAATAGATTTAAGGAATGGTGTTTGAACAACCATTTAATTCTTAACCATGGGAAAACAGTATTAACGAAATTTCACATTTCAAATGACTCTTGAACAAGTCTTTTGAAATACATACCGAAAATCTTACTATGACATCCTCTGAGACAACAAAATTCCTTGGCACTATTCTTGACTTATCTCTCTTCTTTCAGGCATGTATTGGTCATTTCTAAGAAAGTATGTAGCAATTTTACAACTTAAATAGTAGTTTGTGCAACAAGAGTGGATATGATGGCTATATCGCATGAAGACGAAATTTGAGCATGACGCCGTAGGCGGACTGCTCAAGCGTCTGAGTGCGATGTGGACAATTCATTCGAGCTGTACAGTATATTTTTTCTACGACCCACTAACGAAAATTTACAAATAAAAAAATATTTAAGGTTATTAAGACAAAATAACTAATTTTGAAATAATTTATGACTTTTAATAATTAAAAAAAAAATAAACGGAAAAAGAAAAGTTCATTTCATTTTTCCCTATCCGAGAATCGAACTCGAATCTTCCGTGTGGAAGGCAAGAACGCTAACCACAGGACCACCTATTCTTTCATTTTTGTTGTTTTAATACTCGTAATTAAATTGACCTCATATAGTTTTATTTAAATTAACAAATTATTTATAATTATAGACGAAATAAAAACATAAATGCTATTATTTATCGATTCTACACAAGAATAACCCATTTTAATGTATGTTTAATCTCAATAACTAAAAAATATACTGACAATTAGTTTGACAGAATTATCACTTTTATTCAATTTTAAAAATAATAGCTGTCGGTTGATCAAAATATGAACGGTGATTGGTGGATTTCATTTTTTTTGCAGTGTTCTCACTACCTAGAATGGATATGAAATATATTCGTTCAGTTGAAGGCAATAGCATACTTTTTCGGTTTGTAATCTGTGCATAGATAAGCTAATATCCATGTGGGTGTAGAAAAAATATTAACTCTTCCTTGTATTTACATCTATAAAAATATTCTATTCGTTAGAAAGAAATTGACATTCATTAAAAATCTGATAATCATAACTATCAGACTAGATATGATAATCTGCTATTTATACCCCCTCACTGGACAGCGTTTTATGAAGAGTCCATCTTATTCTGGTATAGAGTTATATAATAAATTACCAATCTCCTTAAAAGAAAATAAAAATTTTAAGGCATTTAAAAAATCTCTCAAAGATCTCTTGTCACAATACGCATTTTATAATATAGCTGAATTTTTGGATTGTAACTTTTAGTCCTTTTGGCTACCGTCGATATTAGGGACAGTAATTTTTTCACTTTTTCCATAAAGATTAACTAAAACCGTAATATTTTTACACTTTTTAATCTTCTATAAGTGTGCACTAACCTAATTAAAGCAACAAATATTATTAAAACACATTTGTAAGTTAAAAAATTAAGAATATGCATTTATTCACGACATTCTCACGTAGCCATATTGTTTTTAATTTTTTCGATTTGACAGTCACACTAAGAGCGCCTGTGCGTGATTTTAGCGATGTTGCCAATTTCTTTTTGTTATTTGTTTTAAATAAATATATTTATGGTAATACCGTTCTATATTATTTTTTGTTTATGAATAATATGACAACTAACATTTTTATTTTTATAAATGTGGTGTTGTCAAACAGTAAAAGAACGTACATAACAAGAATGACAGTGGCTGTTTTTTCAATAGCTCCAGACTAGATGATAAAACCAAAATATAAATGTGTTTATTTGAGATTTTTCATTTCAATTATTCAATTTGAGCTGTGTCCAGGCTGTTGGAGTCTATGCCAGTCGGCGTAGCCACGCATGGGTTGATGTTTTTTGGTGGCGGCGAAGCCGCCACTCTACGATAAGTCGTTGCTTCGTTTTCTTGTTCCATATTTATGGACTGGTATGCGCAATCGCAAGAAATTATATGAAAAAGTTTACGTTTTCAATTCAATTTGAGCTGTGTCCAGGCCGTTGGAGTCTATGCCGGTCGGCGTAGCCTGGTATGGGTTAATGTTTTTTGGTGGCGGCGAAGCCGCCACCCTACGATAAGTCGTGGCTTCGTTTTCTTGTTGCATATTTATGGACCGGTATGCGCAATCACAATTTTCCATTAACTACTAATTTTATCACAATCCGGCAACGTTGCAATTATATTTTCCAAATTTGACAGAAACCATCGAGTTTCGATGTTTACAGTCGTCAAAATGCTGATTTTTATAGAAATTAAATAATTTTTTTTTTTGTTTAAATAATGCATTTACCGCAATTTTTTTTTTTTAATGTACTATTTAAAATACGCTCTTTCTGATAAAAAAATAAATTTCTTTAAAATTCCACTGTCCCTAAAGTCGACGGGACCCGTCCTTTTTATTTATCTTCGTATTTTGTTTTAAAATTGTTGTACACACACCTAGGTATATACTACATATCTTTTTTAATGTTCTACTTGACTTTTCCAATATCATGTAAATCGTCTCAATGGAATAAAAGATTATAATTATTTTAAAATATCGCCTCAAACAAACCACTTATTTGTCGAATTGTGTTGCCTTGAAAATGCCATCTCACAATTTTTACTTCATCAGCAATTCCGTAAACATCATTTTAAATCTAAAGAAATACTTTTCGTCCGCGATAAATGCTCAAATTTTGAATGTGACAGTTGCGGACAAGTGTTATGTTTACCGTGTTCCTAGTACGACTAGATGGATCTGTATAAGCCTTAAGTAACGTGAGCCAACAAGCTGGAAGGAGTGTTCATATATTCCATTATAGACTAACATAAGTAATTTTTACATTTTTAATAAATGCATTTTTATCAAAACTATTATAATGATCAGGTAAATGTTTTAGGTTTAACGGATTTTTATTTATATCCTGATCAATTTTAGCAATTTTTTTGTTAAACTTGAAACACTTTAAATTTACACTGTGGCCAGACCATACATAGTTCTTTTGCTTTTCAGGTACAAGATTATACTCGAATCCCGCTTACAATGCTCTGCTCCGTTCCATTAGAAACAAAATCAGAGACGGCAAGTTCTATCTGAAGGACTCGCCCAATAAGAGGTCGATCCTCAGGATCGGCGTCCATTCTTTGGGCTCTCCGATGTGGCTGCCGCATCGAAAGTCGCTGCATTCCATAGACAGTACCCGTGATCTCGATAAGTTTATCTTCTGTTTGAGGGCGCTAGTGCGGTCGGCTAACGCCGTTGCCGTTGTTACCATTCCCACTCATCTGTATCACGAGGTAAGTACATTGTAATACATTTTTTATTCATAATTTTTAATTATCAACCCAACTCTAAATTTTCTATACCCCGTTATTTTTCGCTTTTTTTACTTTACAGTGAACATTATCATTGTGTATTTTAATCATTATTTAAATATTATTTATCTGTAAAACGAATTAACAATAGATATATTTTTATCTGTGGTAAATAACAAAGAACACAAACACAATAAAGATCTCTCGCTTACTATATGGTTAAATGCATGCGAAAACAAATGTTTGATGAAAAAAAAAAAAAAGATTCCGCTATGCTTTGGACTTCCTGTTTTTGATACATAATTATATTTTTCACGTTTAATTGCTACATTTATTTTTCTGTAGGGTACATAGACCTTTTTCTGATGTATAATTTTTTAAATAATTATTAACTAAAAAAATGATAGTTTCCTCCTAGATGATAACACAGCGTTGCCACAACCTTGATATTTTCCTGATATTTCAGCCTTTTTGTTTATTTAGTTCAACAATCTTCTTTTTCGTTGAAGATTGTAAGGAATCGTATTTAATTTTCTACCATGCGTTTTTACCAGGAATGTTTCCATTTTATATACCGTTTTGGGTCGCTCTTGTCCAAATTTCTTTCGGCATCTTTCTGTTCTCAATTGCTTAGTTTGTATCTTCTTATTTTTACCACTTCACGTCTTTGATCAAATGGGACTACCCAACGTGGGGCATGATTTTTGTTTCAAGTAAATTGAGACATTTTTAAAATAAGTTTGGTCTATTTTTCTATGCTATTTGCTACAATCAAATTAAATGATAATGAATGATCTAGATAAAGAGAAAAACTCAAAAAGACTGTTCGGAAAACAACTACTCATTTGGCTTATACCTCGACAGGTATATGGTAAATTCTAAGTTCTAAAAGTAATTTCCCTTTTCATCTCTTTTTGGGCGCCTTTCTTCCATTCTCTGATCTTGTTTGGCTATTTCTGCACCTGTCTCAGCTTTCGAGCCAAAGCTTAGTTTTCTATTTATTATTCCAGCTGGCATACCAAACTGTCTTTTCTTCGGCTTCGTACTTATCAGTTTTGGTAATTCATATTCATATTGAAATATTCTGAATTTTCTTCATACTTTCCTTGCTAGTTTTCTCTTAACTTTCAAAGGTATTATTATCCTTACTCTCTGAGGTAGTTTCATTCTTACTGAATTTGTCTCCATATTTATACTTTGGTTACATTTGAGTTACGAATTCATTAACAATATTATATTTTTTTTTTGTGTTACAGATCTCATTAGACAGATGCATTCATTCGAGCGATATCGCCATGAGATTGCAAGCATTCGGCGGTACGGAGCTCGAGAACAATCAAAGCCTGGCAGAGTACCAAGGCTTCTTTTATCTCACCAAATTGGCTGCGATCAATTCGCTGGCCTCCAGGCATCCGGGGTCCATGGAGTACGCCTTCAAGCTCAGGAGGAAAAAGTTTTCGATAGACGTTCTTCATTTGCCTCCTGGTAAGTTTCAATCAAATAATAATGAATTTTTTGTGTACTTGATACATTTAGTGCGTCTTATCACCTTTGAAGCGGTTAAATCAATCTTTCGGTTGTTATAGCGATGATTAAATTCTACGTTACTATGATTCAATTCTTTGTAGCGATGATCTCATTCTTTGTAGTGATGATTCCAATTTTTGTAGCGATGATTTCAATCTACGTAGTGATGATTCAATTCTTTGTAGCTATGATCTTATTTTTAGTGATGATCCTATTCTTTGTAATAATTCAATCAATATATGTTTATTGTCAAAGCTATAACTTATAGACAAACACTTTTAAATATTAAATTAAATATAAAACATACTTGCAAACAAGTCCCAACAATTTGAAAGAAATTGTAAAATTTTGTCACCAAGCGTAATTTGTTAGTTATTTGAAGTTTGTATGAATATTTTATAAGAAAAACAATTATTTTATTAAATTGACAATTATTCAAAATTATTATATCAAATAGTATGTAACCAATATATTAATATTTTTTTAACATAATTGTTATCCCATATCTTAAATGGGACTCTATTAGAGCGTAATAAACACTTTTAGATTTCTTAAAACTTAATTATTTTGCCACAGTTCTGACTGCAAAACAACCAGAAGAAAGTTTTTTTTTGTTTAGCAATTCTACATGGTTCTAAAATTTCAAATTATTGTCTAAATTAATGTCTAGGAATTTTATTGTATCAGTACATTTAAGATTGTGATGATGATGCTACCACCCTTTGTAGCGATGATCCAATTCTTTGTATCGATGATCCCAATCTTTGTAGCGTCGATTCTATTATTTGTCGTGATTATCCCCTGTGTAGCAATGAGCTGATTCTTTGTAATCTAGAGGTCACCTTAAATTTTAGAATTTACCGCCACTTTAAAGTTGATAGCGTCCACACTGATATTTGACATTTTCCCTAGACTTGTCATTTGTCATTATTATGCCGAATGGGTAGATGGTTGAAGACAGAGATAATAGGAGATGTAATTACTAACAAATATCGTACGATCATATGTAAGACATATTCTAAGAGACACAGGAGGGTATAATATCCGCTATTGTCATATGTCTATTTCATTATTCTCGTTTTGTTTATAAAATTATTGACATATATTAAAAAAGCTAAAATAATTCAACCTATTTTATTGCAACTGAAGCCAATTTTCAATTTTAACTAAATTAGATGTAATAATTTTCAAGTGGCAACAGGGCATACACCGGCATGGAAATTTACGTTGTTTATTATAAGCGCACAGTGTCTTACACATTTATTCATTGATAAAAAAGTTGTATCTTCATAAAATTCTTCTCTTTATCCCCTCTCTTACTTCTCATCTTTCGTCTCCTCGCCGCGTCCCTACAAATAGAGCCGTATTGATTGTCGAATTAATCTTGGCATCGCGAATATTATATTTTATCAATAAATGGTTATATCTTTGGTTGAAGATTAAACGTTTTTCATTCTTTTTATGTTTTGTTTAATTTGACAAAATATGTATGCCGAATTAAAGAAACAATGATCCCATTTTCTGTAGGGCTACTTTCATTTTTTATTGTAAAGTTAATTGGTATTATAAATGGATACATATTTTTTTTGTAATTTCAGATATACACGACGATTCAGATCCAAAGAGGCAGAGCATACCGCTGACGTGCGGCGGTGGTACGAAATACTTAGACTTCTGATTGGAATAAATACACACGTACCTTGAATCGACGTTATCATGTAATTTATTTATTGAAGAGTATTATATTTTGAAAGATTTGACAAATACAAGTGTTTTTTTATATATAAAGCGTGTTTTTATTTGTATTGATACATTTTGAGGTGACGAAAAAATTGTTGACGAAAACAAAAAAAGACCATTAGACACATTTAAGGAAAATTTTATAGGAAAACCAAAAAACGAATTTAAATTAGAGTCCTTGAACTTATTTAAACCGAATTTGTTTTCATGTATTTCAGAAAAAGTGGAGATAAGCATTTTGCGATTTATACTGACGATATACCGTTTTGTAGGTCTCTTAAAGAAAAATTCAACTCCCATCATCTGCATTTTCCAACCTCAAACAGATGCCGAGATATTTAACAAAAAAGTAGATATTTCTGTTAAATATTCAAAGGATATTCATTGGACACATTGTGTCGATAAAACAAAATCGAAAATTTATTGTCGAGAAAAAAAAAATAATGAAAAAAAGTTGATAAAAAATAATTTAATTTCAAGATAAAAACAAAATGTAAAGAAAATGTTCAAAGGAGGGATTATTGGATACATTTCAATGTTGATGAAAAATCTTTTCGATTTTCCAGATTTTGAAATATCCGAGACTTTCACGGACCACCGGTCACTGGACTAAAAATCTATTTTAGTCTGGTGGCAAAATATTTTTTTGTTAAAAATTATTTTAAACCTAAATAACCCTGAAACGTCTATAGATAATAATAAGTGATAAGAAACATTCGAATCAATCGGTTTTGTTCTACGTTTGATGAAATCTACAGGGCTATTTTAGGATTATAATGAAAATATGCCTCTTGGATTCAAACAATATTAAGCGCATATTTCTTTCAAAATCTCCATTTATTGGCTACTCATCTTTTATATGTTCTACAGAAAGTTCCCACGGACTACTTCTGAGACTTTTACTAACCACTGGTTGTAGATAGTGACTGATTTGGGTGCCAGAAGAGGTTTTAAAAGTACATCGATGTTGAGTAGAATGAAACGAAAGTTACGTGTGGCTATTGGGGATAACACATGGAACATTCTATTTTTCTGAACAGAAATATTTTCCGACACCAAAATTCACTTATCTCTTCGGGTCATTTAAGCAAATATGTTTTTCGAACTAGTGACGATGTACGTTTTCATACATTCTATGGGCTTGTGTAGGAAAATTGGTTAAAATCTCGGATTACGCCTTTATTTCAACCCTTTAGCCACTTGTAACATTAAAGCTATTGGTTTTCCGAAGCCTAGTTATGTTAGTTAAGTGAACATGGCTTGCGTAAAAATATAGGCAACAAATACCTTTTAATTTCTCTTAGTAAAAATCGAATTTTCAATATGTTATCTCCAGGAGCCACTCGTAAATTTCCCTTCATTCTCAAAATCGATGTACTTTTCAACCCTCTTTGAGGCTTTGTAACGGTCATGGAACCTAATTTTTGTATTCTTGTCGAACTTAAATTCGGAGTATTGATCTAGTCAATATTCATTGTCTATGTTAGTTGTCAGTTGGGGTTGTCAAAAACTCGAGGTGCGCAAAATGGCGAAATGAAATGAGATAGTTGTGTTTTTATTAGGTATTCCCACATACTTTGATTTTCTCTTACTTTACGGAGAATGGTCGCACTGCGCAGCTTTCTGAGTGCCTTTTAAAAGGAGGTAGAAAACTCCGCCATTTTGAACCCTTATTACGTGTTGCCTACATCTTGGCGCAATATTTTTAATAGGTGCGTTTTAATCATTTTAATCCGTTTAAAAGGCACTCAGAAAGCTGCGCAGTGCGACCATTCTCCGTATAGTAAAAGAAAATCAAAGTATGTGATGGTAACCCTATAAGCCTAGTGATTTGACAGGGTCAATGAAATAGATAGTTATATAGATTAATCATCGCAAAAGGACCCGCTTTTAGCAATCCATATAACTATATATGTATCATTTACCCTGTCAATAACAGCAGGCCACAGGGTTGCCACATCTAAACGTCAGTTACCACTTGTCATCATTTTGACAGGTCGTTGGAATGCATAATTGTGAATTAATAATCTTTGCCAGCCGCAAATAGTGCAGGCGCCAAAGGAAGTATGCAAAATGTGAGGACTGGCAACTATACGGGTATACAGTGTGTCCATGGATGGGGTCCCCAAGGGGGAAAAAATCTTTAATATTCATTTTACGACCAAAAGTCATTCTTTATAAAAAGTTCTGCTTGTTGAGAAAATGGAGTTGCCTTATAAACATTTTAGATTAAATGTACAGGGTGTAAATAAATTAGGAAAATATGAAAATGCTTCAAGAGGGAAGTACCATTATTTATTATTTTTAACAAAAATTTTATAAAACAAAGTTGTTTATAAACTAGCATAGAGACTAAATACAAATTTTTAAATAAAAATTCCAATATTTTAAAATAGAATATTATTAATTATTACTTTCATGTAATAATTTGCATTTTACAAAAAAAATCAAGATAGCCGATTTTGTATACGTTCATGTTATGTCAGCATTTTATTTACATCTGTCAGTATTTTTGACAACTTTGTTTTATAAAATTTTTGTTAAAAATAATAAAAAATGGTACTTCCCTCTTGAAGCATTTTCATATTTTCCTAATTTATTAACACCCTGTACATTTAATCTAAAATTTTTATAAGGCAACTCCATTTTCTCAACAAGCAGAACTTTTTATAAAGAATGACTTTTGGTCGTAAAATTAATAATAAAGATTTTTTCCCCCTTGGGGACCCCATCCATGGACACACTGTATATTTACTCTTAAATATAGAGCGTTTCTGCAAAGTCTAATGAGAATGTTTTTTGTTTTTCCTGAAAAAAAGCTCATTTTGGACATATGTCGTTTTTGTAAAAAGGTCTTCAATTAATTTTTTAAAATATCGGCTTCGGTTTAAATTTATTAAAGGTAATTTTCACATCAGGTGCTCTACATTTGCATTTGTTAAGAACTTCAGCACATACATATGTATGAACAGTATGAAATATGTATGGACAAATGCTGACCAAACACTACTGCAGCCCAATGAAAAAAATGGTACATACGGCAACTGACGAAGCGACCTATGTCAGAATTGTTGATTCAACCCTAAGGGAAAACTACTCAAACCGATGAAATGATTTCGGTGTTGATTTTGACTATGATTTTTGATTATGATTTGAGTGATTGCAGTGATTTCAGTAATTTCTAGTGAAAACGTACCAAAAAATTGTTTTCTTATCGGTCACCACGCTCAAAAAGTGTAACTTGAATTAATATCAAAGAAAAAACGAATTAATATCAAAGAAAAAACTTGAATTAATATCAAAGAAAAAAAATACTGCATAAATAAAATAAATAATTATAATTGCATAAGTTGATAAAAAATGCTACGCAATAGTTTTACCGCAGCAGTCCCCGAGTGTCACACGTATTTTTTGTATTTTTTTTGGATGACATGTTAAAATTTACTTTTCGTATTAATTTTTTTTTTTATCAATATTTCTTGTTTTTATTTTTAACTTTTTTTTTTTTTTTTTTTTTTTTTTTTATTGATAGTTTTAAGTATCATTAAAATGGTTCTAAAGCATTTGTTCAGTCCATTTACTTGATATCTAGAGTTATGAAGTATAAAAAATAAATGGACCAATAAACCTCCTTGCAACATTCAGAATCATAAACTGCAACTTTTCTGAGTTCAAACCTATATAAAGAATGCGGTCCTCATATTTTGCACAGTCAAGTCCATCCAGCTCCCCGGTCTTAAAGGTTATTATTCAGTAAATCAATTCTAAATAATTTGGAGATTTGTGTGAGCAGTTGAACTGCGTATTTTTGTTATTCTTCAAATTGGAACCTGCAAGGAATTTAACTTCATTGATTCAGCACGTCGTAATCGTTAATTGATACAAGGCCACCAGTATTATTCGATGGATTGCTATAGGAATTTAGTGGGTATGTACATTTGTTTTTAGTTGATTTCCAAAGAATCCAGTTGATTTTATTATTAACATTTATTACAGCGACTAGCGGAGATATGAGAGTACGTCTCGATTATGAAGACTAGATATGAGGAGGCGAATCGGCAATGATCAAATTTCTGTCCTTTTTATAAAGTTAGCTTAGTTTTTCAGGCCAAAAACGTCGCTGAATCCGCAACTAAGAGAATCTAGAGACCTTACAGTGACAAGGCTCCTTCTTTTACGGATATCGAACTCAAGACCTCCTCATTCGAACTCCTGAGCAGGCTAGATCACCTCCGGAACTTCCAGAATCTCCAGGACCACCCCCTCAGCTTAGTCATCCGGTAACCAAAACCGAAAGCGAGCCGAACCTCCTTCTTTTTATTATTTGTACAGGTTACTTAAATTGCATATCATTTTTTTTACTTAGTTTTCATAATTTGTTCACTATCTTCCAGAAAAACCAAAACCGATTTGTATCCTGTATTAGAAATTAAAAATTTAAAAAAATCGACTTCAAAAACGTGCAGATGCCATCACCTCATTTTAACCAAATTTATATGGGACCACCCCTGAGGTACCCCCTTACTAACAAAAAAAAAAATCATATAAATCGGACAAGGTGGTAAAGCATTACCGCTAAACATACATAAAAAATGAAGAGTTTGAGGATTTTCGCATGGACCCAATTATTAGATTTTGACCAAATTTATATGGGACCACCCTTGAAGTACCCCCTTTCTAATAAAAAAGAATCATTGAAATTGGACACCGTGTTAAAGAATTATCCTGAACATACATAAAAAAAAATATTGCGACGAATTGAGAACCTCCTTCTTTTTTTGAAGTCGGTTAAAAAAGAAGGACGGAAATTTGATATTTGACCATTGCCGATTCGCCTCCTTCTCTTTAATTTTCATAATCACACCTCGTGTCAGTAGGCTTGCATTATTGCCTTATTATTTTGCATTTTTTGTATTATCACTCAACGAAAGTGCTGCAACCACTGAAAGAAAGATCTATTTTAGTCAGGTGACAAAAGATTATTTGTTATGTAATTAAAATATTTTTAAATTTAATAACTCCTAAAAAGCTATAAATAAAGATAAGTGCTAAAGAAGCATTCAAAACAATCTGTTTTGTTTTACGTTTGTTGAAATTCCAGGATTATTAACGGCGGGAAATAAAAACGAAATTTTAACGGTTGTAGACAACAGACTACACCCCGAAATTTCTCTTGTGCCTACATTTTCCAGAAGATCGGAGAATTTTTTTTTGCAAAAAATCGACGAACACAGAGGCATGCCTGAAAGATTGAAGCACTTAACGTGTTAATTGGGTAAATAGGAAAATAAATCGAAGATCACTAAATGTATATGGCGTGCTGAAAGTGTTAATCGGGCAAATAAAGAAAATTGATTAGAGAGCACTGAACGCTTTATTGAAAATATAAATATTTACAACAAACTCATTATCAGAAAAGTAGGTATCTTAATTAAAATCTGTTGTGTATTTAAGTAAACTGAGTATAATTACAGGTTAGCTAATTTAATATTAAATTAATTTGTTTTATTACAAAAAAATAATTTTCGAACTTTACTTACATGGTATCCCAAAATATATATTTACCCTATCATATATAGTGCGAATAAATTCGATAAAAGGACAAGTATTGATTTTTGGAAAAATTCTAAAAATACATCAATATGGTTATTAAATTCCGCACTTTGGATATACCGGGTGACGCTTTCAAATAATAAAAATATACTTTCCCGGTCTTCAAAATGATATTTCTGAAAAATTATTTATATCTGATGACATCACAGCATTAACACGCATCACCCTGTATTTCCCAATTTTATAAATATGTCAAAAAGTGCAAAATTTGAAATATAATTGATATATTTTCAAAAATCAAAAATTTCCCTACTTTTGACTCGCATAGTATACAGAATAACGAAAATTTACATATTCGAATTTATCTGGCATCTACAATGTATTTTACAAAATTATTTGTGTTTTTTTTTTTTTTTAATTGTATTTACGTAAATATATAGTTGTTTTAATAACAAACTTATTTTGAAAATTATAAAAAAACAGCTATACTTAAATTTCAAAATGTTAAGGATACCATGTTACTATATTTAAATTAATATGTCAAAATTGTTTTATCTAAAGATCTTTTTATATGCTTAAAATAAAATCAGATGTCTATAAAATGAGAGAATTTTGTGGAATGTACAGTTGGTGATCAAATATATAAATTCTATAAATTAATATACATTATGATGTCTGTTAATACCACTTATTGCTGATAAAACGCATTTACACAATATTAATATATTAGATCACACTGTATATTTTTAAAAACTCATGATGTATTCTTTCATTTTATATCTACAGTAAATTTTAATGAAATATTCTACATTTTCATATATTTCACCAATAATAAATGTATACAAAGCAATTTTTAATAACTAATTTTTTTTTCAAATTTTATAAATCATATTAAGCTTAAAATAGAAGTGATAGAATTAAAAATATTAATAATTAATTAATAAGATATTTTTTAAGATAAAATTGGCAGTGCATTTTTTTATTACACACAATCAAAATCTATGTCTATTTTAAGCTTTTTTAAACATCTATCATGGTTTTTTCTGTTACAGTACATTGGGACCCATTTCAAACATTCAAAGGGGGTTTCGTACTGAGAAATACGTAGAATTTAATTTAAATATCACCTATCTGTTAATTTTCATATTTTGTGTTTATGTTTATTAATGCCTTTAAATTTTTAATTAAAAATTTTAATACACAAAGTTAAAATTTATAAACTTATATTGTACACTTTTAAAAATTTTGATTTAAAAATAATAAAAAATAGAAAAGTTTTTAATAACCACACTATTATATTATTTATACATTTATGATTTTGTTTTGATGTTATTTAAATTTGATATAAATGTATGGTTAACAGCTTTAATAAATTTGCAACCAAAGAATGGATTTATTAAAAATTCACTACGTCAACCACATTATCAAAATACAGCTCTTTGATTTGTTGAAGGATTTGAAGAATTTCCTTAAATCTTGGTGCCTTTGTACTGCAAGATTTTATTTTTGGTTTTGATGAATTTGGCAACGTTTCCGAATTGGTATCTATAATGCCTACATATATCGTTATTTTAAGTTTAAATGACTCAAAATGTCAAATAATTCGAGAATCCTAACTTTACATTTTTTCGCTAAAAAAGATTTTTAAATAATTTTTTTAATATTTCGGAATTTTTTGAGGATTTTATTATTCATTTTTGATTATTGCCATGTTTTGTGACATTTACCCAGGGCAACCCAAATCACCGGGTTAAATGGGTCATAGCATGGAACGTAAGCCTTTTGGGGCGAAAATATATATTATCGCCTGATAGTGGGAACTATCGTGTGCTCTGTCAAATTCAAAGTAAAGTTGCTTATCGATGGAATTTTTTGTTTTTTGCTGGCAATGAAATATGCTTCTAGACGTCAATAACAAGCCTTTTCTAGCGTTCGGTTTTGCTACTTTCGGTGTAGGAATTTAGGCCACGTGACTGGATATTAACGTTTTTTTAATGAAATTTGGATATAGCATAAACTCTTTTTTTCTTGAATTTAAGATGATATTGCAAGCATTTTTTATGTCAGCAAGGGTTTGTAGACAAAAAGCAATCTGGCGAAAAATAACCTGTTTTTTTAAAAGTAGGGATAACATCTGAATCAAAAGTCGAAAAGTGGTTTCATTGCTATCAAAATGTTTGTATAACTGTCAGCTAAGAGCAGGTATTGCTCTTGCAAGCATTTTTATTCAGTAATACAAATATCTTGGGAGCAATTAAATCACTTTCGTCTTTCGGTTCCGATTTTAGACCTATTTCAAGGTTACAATATTTTTTTTTTTTGCATATCAATCCTTTAGTCAACACAAAAAAATTATTGCAATATCATCTTGAGTTCAAACAAACTGCGTCTAAGTTCTATCTCGAATTTCGTTAAAAAACGTAAATATCCGGTCACGTGGCCGAAATCAGTACACCGGAAGTAGCAAAACCGGACGACAGAAAATGCTTGCAAAGGGATTTTTGTATTGTTATAGACGTCTAGAAGTATTTCATTGCCAGCAAAAAACGAAAAAATCCATCGATAAGCAACTTTACTTCGAAATTGCAAGATCACACGATAGTTCCCCCATCCAGGACATAGTACATATTGTTTAACCCTACTGCACCGTATGAAACTACAAATAGCAAGCAAAAAACATGATGTGCCATTTTTGCAGTTAGATGAGTGCACTACAAATCGAACGAAAACAATATTTTATAGATGGAAAGCAATACAAAAGAAACTGGTTTTTATACCCAAATTTCCCCGGAAAATTTTATTACATCCCTTTAGTACAGGTTTCAACGATTGGATTAAAAGTGAAAAAATTTCGTACCATGAATATCTCCTGCATAAAGAAAACACTCTCATACTTGTTAACCGATCTACAGAAAATGCGAATAATTCAAAAATTATTCAATTATATCAATGAAAAAAGAAATACTTATTTCTGGAAAAATATTTTAGAACGGTTAGTTGAAGTATTCAATTTTTTAAGTTCAAGAGGTTTTCCTTTAAGGGGAAGGGACTCATATTATTGGTAATACAACCCAATAAAAATTATTTAGGAAGCCTGGAACTGCTAGCAAAATTTGACTCCATCTTAACAACATAATATGTTTAATTTTGGAAATAAAGGTATTGGAAATGTCTCTTATTTATCTGTACATACAAGGTGGCGCAAAATTAAGCCCCCTATTTGTTTTTTATATAAAAGTAAGATTAATTAAAAAATAATCATATTATAAATTAAACATATTTATTTAAATTCCAAAAATTTGTTTTGTTACACACTAAAAACAATATCGACCAAATGGACACCCCCAGCATTAATGCAATAATGAACTCTTTTTAAAATATTTTTCATAACTTTCTCCAACATTTCAGGTGGTATTCTGTCAATTTCTTCCCGGATGTTGTCTTTTAATGATTTTAGTGTTCGATGATTATTTACAAATACTCTATCTTTTAGATAACCCAATAAGCAAAAGTCTGAAACAGTTAAATCGGGAGACCATGGCGGATATGCAATATCGGCGTTTTTCGAGATAAGGCGTCCAGGAAAAATTCTGATAAACGACAAATTATTTTGATAAAAAAATTTTACGATTTCGGCACGTTTTCGAGGCGTATATCGATTCATAATGAATTTCCTAAGTATCTACTTAGCAACTGACAGAAAAACTCGAACAGATGCCAACTAGAAACGAAACCATGACAACATTCCATAGGGTACTTGATTTTGCGCCACCTTGTATTTATGAGTTCATTAAAATATTATGTTCACCTCGTAATTAAAAAAAGCAAAGTTATACTTAATTATAGAAGATTCGACGCCCCATATTTCCTATAGTTAAGAATGAATTAACTATTGCGTTAGATATTCCAGTAAAAATGAAACACCCGTTGAAAGATTTTTAAAATTTGCAGCAAATACTGGCCATCAGAATTGGAAGCCTATACCCGTATTTTAAAGATTTTAAAATTGAGTTTCCATTTCCTAACGTCGCCACAGCACTGCATATTTTTTTTTATTATTGTAACTACAAATTACAATGGCACTTAAAAAGACAAAAAATTATTTAGTTTTCTTTGGTACAGAGCAAATTATATTATATGAGTATTCTATCCACAAAGACTGACCTTATTTCATAACTTGAAAAGAAACAAAAAGCTAGGAAAATATACAAATTACTTTTTCTAATTTTGACGTATAAAGTGACATTTCTTGTAATCGCAACAAGTGTCAAAACAATCTACTTTACGCAACTAGTTGAATAAAGTTGAACATTATGAAACTGGTTACGATATTTTTTTTAATTCTACTAGATTGTTTATTAAATTGTGTCATGGTAAAAAATTACTGTCATCCAGGCAACCAATATTACAACTTTCTTGTATTGTAGTTTGTTTATATTGCTTGTTAAAGGTATTTAGATTTTGTAGTGTATTGTGGTTTAATTATTTTGTGTCGATTTAGAATGGAAAATAGGAACCAAAACAACATTACTACTAGGTTGTAAGTATAACCAAAATCTATTTTTATAAGTCAACCTGCCCTTCTTTGATATAAACTTTCAATAATAATGTATATTATTGATTTTAAAACCAAAAAAGTTTTCTTATTTATTTTAAAGAGATTTCATGTACCGTAAGTAGCTCCCCCTACAATTGGTATCTGAACTAACAACAAATTTGAATTTCTCACCTCCAAAAACCCTTAAATTCATAATTTCGTGATGTTATGTCGCCCTGTTGATAAAATATTAAGGAAAAACGAAATGAAAATTACAACTTGGTTATTATCAACTTTTGGACTAAGGTAATTTTGGTTGAATCGCAATATTTTACTCAAAGAATCTGCAGTTTACTGTCTACCATTAATTAGCGGACACAGTACATAGTACAACAAGTCGTTGAGAATAAATTAATATTATTTTCTATTTGTCAATAAAATAAAGTTAGGCATATGTAACTAACAATACAAGAAAGTAATATTGGTTGCCTAGTTGTCAGTAATGTTTTATAAATGAGTAGTAACTTTTCTAAACGCATTATGTCCATAATTTTTTTTTTTTTTTTTTTTTTCAGAAACAGGAATATTGTATGTAATACGTTACAAAATGCCATTAAATTTTTTTTATAAAATATTGTGACAAAAAAAATGGCTTTTCCAACAACAAAAAACAAATTTTCTAACATCAAAAACAGATTTTTCTACCAACAAAATCTTTTCTACATAGATTGACACAGATATATAATGTGTACAAACAAAAACATTATGTAATTGATGACAGGTCCGTCTTTTACCTAGTTTTAAGACGTGAATAGAATATACTGTGGGCCTACTGCCAAAAGCGATTAATAAATTTTAAATTTTCTGTGATTAGAGTTAGTCCGTTATTGAGCGAAATATCGGTTACTCGGTCTAAAACTAACCGCTCTGCTTGACATTAAGTCCAATGTCAATCTGTCACAAAAGTGACGTAAATCTCTGTGGTGGTCCAAAAGTAACCAAGAAATTAACTTTTTCAGGAACCGCTCTCAAAAAATCCTGGTTATACCAGCGGTTAGTAGTCGGTTAATAACGGACCATACTCTTAATATGACAAAGTCAAAGTCATTTGTTAAAGTCACTTGTTAAAGTAATTTGTTAAAGTTAAAGTCAGATCTACCAAAAGAAAAAATATTAAGTCACATTTTATACTGCCTGAAAGTAATAATTAAAATGAATCAAATATGAATTGGTAATTTTTTGGTAGATTTGACTTTAACAAGTGATTTGGTCATATTAAATGAAATCACATGAAATTTGATTTGGTCACTTTTTGCAGTAAGCGCACGATATGCACACGACGTATATTGGTAGTAATTTATTCCCGCGCCGCTTGCATAAATTTTATTCACACTTCTATTTGATATTGTAGTCTTCATAAGTATTAACTCTTAAACTAAATTACTCTCAAAACGTAAAAACAAACTTAAATTTTTAGAAAAACTACTTCGGCTCAGCGGACCCGACCACGAAATTCGCTTCGGCAGTCAACGTGTTAATAAATAAAATCTATTTTAGGAATATTTTAGCATGTCTAGAATAATTTGTATGAAATATAGATGAATACTTGTATTTTTTTTGTACTGCAGCTCTACAGGACTTATGCACCAGCCGCTTCTGCTATAAAGTTTGTTTCTGTTAATAGTTTTTTTTTATTTTATTTGAATTTTATGTTTTTGTTAAGTATGATGGTAATAAATTTACTTTTGTTAATTTCTACAATATTGTATAGCTTCCGCTACCAATCCGATTTGTTTTCTTATGAAAAGGGGTTCATTATTATTATAAAAGAGTTTAAAGAAACATAGTTAAACATGAAATTTTGCAATAAAATCGAATTAGGTGAATAATTTATAGTCGAGGACCTTTATTATTTTGGCTCAGCTTAGCATGAAAAGCTAAAACGAAATAGAACTATAAATATTGATAGATCTATAAAATTTAAAGTGATTGCATCTGTAGTTCAATCATGTGAGTAACATTTCTGCAGACATTTTATGTATGGGCTTTCATCAAATTTATTAAAATATTATTTACAAAGCTAGATAATAAAAAATACCCAGCATCTATAAAATTATAAATAATATTATTTAAATTGTGTAAATATTTAGTAAAAAAAGTAGTTACAAATAATTGCTAGGAATAATTAAATTAAATTCAAACGAGTTACGTATTTCTCAGCTTTTAAGTCTAATATATCTTATCAGTATTGCAACATTTATTAATATTTTTTTAACAAAAGAAGTTTGATAACTTAATTTTTTTTTACATCGACATGTTTACCTAAATCAGTCAGTCGATAGGTAAAGAGATTGCCTAACTACAGTTAACAGATTTTTAGAATGACTTTCAAGAATTAGGGATTTCGTTTTAATCTTACAATAATATTTATTATCATCTTTTACTTGGGTGTATACACAAAAACTTTTGCACCAACGGTATTAAATATTTTATTTTAAAACGATTTCTAGAATCGTTTTACTTTTTTAAAATAAATTATAATTTTTTTCAAAAGCTTTCGGCTTGTTTCCAAAACTACTTTTCAATTTAAGAATTTAGCATTCTTCCATATATGTGGGTGCAAAGTTTTCGAGACACAGAGTTATAAATAGGGTCTTTGGTAATTATTAAAAGAATGTGCAAAGAAATTGAAATTGTTAATCACAAAATTTATACCTAAATAATCAAGATATGCTATATATTGTGTCCTTGATATCGATAATAGTGATGAATGGTGTTACCAAGGCATTAAAAAGTTACATGGCTTGATAGAAGAAAAGATTAAGTGGAGTTGAAGTTAACAAAGAAATTGACCAGCTGTATGATAAGAGGCCATAAAATATAAACGAAGTGAAGAAGAATGACAAGTAGATAATAATAAGGAGAAGAAGATCACTGTGTTATTTATTGCCTTATCCACATTTCGTTTGTAATTTTAAAATGAATTTTTTTGCACACTCCCATTTAAATGTGAAGCATTTCAGTGCCCAAAAACTAGCAATATATAAAAGGCATTATTTCGAATCAATGAAAATGATACAATATCATCCTAATATAAATATTTTGCCGTCAAAAATATTAACATTTATACACATCCACACATATATACATCTTAAGATAATCCACAAAAAAAAACAGGATTTTTGCGATCAATCGATTTCTTGTCTATGTACTGAGCATATTCAAATTTTGTTTGCTAGCAATGCGAACTGACCAAAACTGAGAGTCAGTGGCGTGGGTACGTCATTAAATTATTTATGAAGGGTTATAATATGGAATATGCATATAATTTCAAAAATACATTTTATTGATATGGAACGCCACTGGTCCTTTTTTTTGAGATTTTATTTTTTCATTTATTTTATCCAAATCGATGATTTACCGATTTTGAATTTTGAAGTTTAAAAGTGAAATGTTTAAATGAAAATGGATGTACACATCGTACATCCAGTGTAACAACGTCGTAAGTGCAAACATCTATTTTTTACAAGGGACCTATTTGAAAGTTTTGCTCGTCTTAACTGAAATGTAATAATAGTCAAATAATTTAATAATTGCTCATTTATTGTATATGTTATATTTACCTCATTGCTGTACCAGATGTAAAAGCAGATTAGACGTATTTTGTGACTAAAAAGTCACTTTCTAATATTTTGCACTTATGACGTTGTTGCACCGGATGTGCGACATGTAGTTCAAAGGTGGTAAATCAAAAAAAAAAAAAAAATAGATTTGAAAAAAAAAAAAAAAAAAAAAAAACAAAGGTGAGAAATGTTTTTCGCGTTGTCCGAAGATCATCCGATGAAAAATAAAGGTAAACTAGTGGAAATATATACAGTAGAAGAAATAACCACATATTAAAGATTTCGAAGTAACCATGTAATGTAGTCGTTCTGGAAAATGATCAAATAATTAGAAATTGATGAATTATCGAAAAATTGTGTTTGGCTAATAGTTCATTCCTATTTTTTCAAAAAATGTACAGCCTTCATTAGATAAAAGAGATGGGGATGTAACCGCAATCACTTAGCTGTAGCCTGGAGTAACAGAACTAATTTAGCTACTACGAGAGACAATATCTTAAAAGCACGAAGACTAGTATATGTTTGCATCACCTGTGCAATAAAAACCTGTCCTATGGCCGCCATGGAGGTGATCTCAAACCTCACCTCTTTACATATAATGGTAGAGAATGTGACAAAAAGGACAATATATAAAATGATTAGGAACGGAGCAATAGCATATTAGCCCAAGGACCTAAGATACTTTGGATATGCCCTAGAATGAAATGAGAAAGTAGTAGAGCTTTGTTAAAAACTTCAGAACCACAGAGCTGGTCTACAAGAAATAATGGAGGCAAGAATCAATCGTGTTTGCAACCGAAATACATGCAAGTCAGTGCCATACAGACAGTTTCAAAACATTAGAAGGAACTGGAATAGAAGTGTATGGGCCTAAAATCTACTACTACTCTGAAAGTTTGGGTACATACCGAAGGATCTTCCAGGCGGATATTCACGCCATTGAGAAATGTACTCAGTTCAATATCGAAAGAAACCATCGAAGACAACAGATGATCATCATGTATAGCCAAGAAACCATTAAAGGACTGAACTTATACACAGTGTTGTTCCTAGAGGTTTTGAAATTGTACAACTTTCAATGTCAAAATTGAACACTTTTACGTTCGACTGTACAACCACTAATTATTCTTCTTCTTTTTCACTGCCAGCCTATGATCTACCACTTCTCGATACATAAAATTCTTCTTTTTTCCAGTTTCAAAAACATTTTTAATTTAAAGCGATGTACTGATTGGTCGCGAATGGCGCCAAATTTATACTTTATTTTTTTTTATTAATTTAAATTCATATGATATAACGATTCGTAGACTTTTTAGCAGAAGAAAGCCTTTTATATACCAGATTTTACATAAATATTTAGTAACTTCAAATTGTAAAACATTTCTCCCTTACTTCAAAAGTGTATACAACATTGCAACCACATAACTGATTGTACAACTTTTTGCGCAATTGTACAACTTTTTGTACAATTGTACGACCAAGAACAACACTGCTTATACGTAGTCAGCTCAAAAATGGGCTAGAGATGCCTAGAAAAATTGAATGAGCTAGGCGAGGAAAATACTAACTTGGGTCCAAAGTCATAACGGGATAAAGGGTAACAAGAATTGGGCAGCAGAAGAACCGATAATTGGAAGGATCTCTTGGGGCTAAGACAGGCTAAGATACTTATAGGAATCCTTACCGTGCATTACAGATTCAAACAAAACCTTATTAGTAGAAGATAGTGAATACAGATTCTGATGACACTTCCATTCACATTATGTCTGAATGAGTAGCATTCCAGAATCCAAAGGTACTATACTTAGGAGCATACCAAATAGAAGATAGCGATCGATTCAAATTCTACATTTCCTTGAAAAGATAAGATTGGAAAGATCAAGACTACCCTTGCTGCATTAGTGACAAATAGACATTTTAGGTTAATGCAATAATACTATTAATATCCCATGCATAACAAAACAGATAAATTACTCAGATGTAAAATAATATTCTGAGTTGCCACAAATAGTGGAAAAAGTTAACCCTACGTCGTCGGGCGCATATGATCTGATAGATTGTCAGCGCACGATTTTTTAAATATTTAGGAGGAAAATAAATTTACGGCGCAGAATAAGCAGTTAAATTTGTGATTCCAAATACGAGAACTTGTTTTACTCACAGTTAAATCTCACAGATTCATTGCGCCTGTGCCTGTAAATTTTTTCTAAATGTTACTGACTGTAAACCGCGTCCGATATACGGACGCATCTTTGCAAAGGACGCGATATTAATAGGTTTGTTTAAACTGACTTACTATTGTTTTAAATTACTATTTTTTTTGTTGAAGTTCGCATCGCAAACAAGAAATTTTGTACAACTTTATTACGAGGGTGAATCAAAATCAAATCCATTACCAAATTTAACTATCTTGGCGGGATCCCTTTCCCCAGACAAGCTCAGCTTTAGGGGTTAAAATTCACTAGTAAGGGGGTGAATTAGGGAGAGTATTATTATATTATTAACAATTTGCTACAAGTGAAAATAAAGTAGTTGATGTCATATTTAAGAATCTTCAATAGCTTTTTTACAGTTAATGGCATGCGCGTCGTCAAATCTGCAGTGGAATTCTCATCTTTCAATAGAGCATATGCCGAGACGTCTATCTTCGTTCGACAGACTGCGATTCTTATGTAATGTCTCTCTCTGTTCAACACATAACGTGTTGAGTTCGCACATAAAACTTCCTGTGCTGGTCAGTGATTGGGCATTCTTCTTCTTTCTCTCTCTATTCTGACTCTCCTATGGAATATTTACTCAGAACAATTTTTTCTTCATGTTTATGAAGTAGTTGAGCTGCGCGTGCGCGATATCTGACATCACTCACTACAATTCTTTCAAGAGTTAATTTGGCTCACCTTTTGTAATTGTGTTTCAATATTTCTTATTAATCTGCTCTCCTAGCAAGGTCTAGGAGTTATTTAGTCCTTTGTTTCCAAAATATTGACAGATTTCATGGTTTCAGTCGATCAATATTTGTTTTCCTCTGGTCCCCTCAATTGAAAAGTTTCTGCGTTTATTAATTTTCAAATTAGAAGAAAATCAAAACTGCCATTTTGATACTAGGACTGGGCCATTATCAAAAAAAATTGATTATAAAAAATAATCGATTATTTTCGATTAATCTAAATAAAAGAATAATCAAAATTTTCGAAATAATCGATTAATCTACTAATCAAAATAATTGATTAATCGAAATAATCAAAATAATCGATTAACTGATGTAATTGAATAATCGAAATATTCAATTAACCGATTTAATCGAATACTCTAAATAAGCTAAATAAACGACAATTCAAAATTGATTAATCAAAAAATCAATGAATCGTTATAATCGATTATTCGTAATCATCGATTATTTGAAATAATCGAAATAATCAATTGATCGAAATAAAAGATTAATCGAAATAAACGATTCATCTAAATAATCGATTAATCTAAATATTCGAAATAATCAAAATAATAGAAATAATAGAAATAATCGATTAATAGAATAACTGATTAATCGAAATAAACGATTAAGCGAAATAATCGATTAATTTAAATAATCGAATAATTAAAATACCTAATCGATTAATGACAAAAATCGATTAATCTAAATAATCTAAATAATCAAGTAATTGAAATAATCGAATAATTCAAATACCTAATCGATTAATCGAAATAATCGATTAATAGAAATAATTGATTGATCGAAATAAACGATTAAGCGAAATAATCGATTAATCGAAATAATCCTTTAACCGAAATAATCCATTAGGCGAAATAATCGATTAATCTAAATAATCGAGTAATCTAAATAATCGAGTAATCTAAATAATCTAATAATTCAAATACCTAATCGATTAATCGAAATAATCGAATTATTCAAATAATCGATTAATCAAAATTAATCGATTATTCGAAAATAACCGATTAATCGAAAATAACCGATTAATCTAAAATAACTTATTAATCGAAAATAATCAATTATCGATTTAAATAAATAATTGATCGATTAATCGATAAAAAAATTGAATAATCGATTATTTTGCCCACCCCTATTTGACACTCCCTCACTGTCTAATCACAAAGTTGGACAAAGTGATTTTTAGTATTAACCTTCGAAATATTTTTTCGTACCTATGACGGTTCACTGTTCATGGAAATTTTTTTCCGATTAAAATTAAATTTGATTCACCCTTGTGTTTAAAATACCAGTTACTAAAAACCGCTCTTGATCTTGTCTATGTTCAGTATAAGTCACAAATTTCTATAGTTCACTTACAACTAAAAGTGCAGAAAAAAATATACCTACGATGGAATGTTTTCTATCGTTAGTCGAAGCCTAGCTACAAATCAATTCCGCATCAAAACCAACAATTCCAATGATTATAATAATCGCTATTTAATAAAATATCTATTTTTTTGGTTTCAACAGTGATAACTCTTAGTAAAATCTTTTATACGCCTGAAATGCTTCAATTTTTATTTCTTTTTACTGTATTTTTTGCTTCCTTACATTAGTATGAAAATGAATTTCATATCCATTTGATGCCAAAAATTTCACTGTCACTTGCCACTCGTTTTCTTTCAAATGTCATTTAACTGTCACTTGTCAGCTTTTAACTGTCAATTACCACTAGTTCTTGCCTGTCAATTGTCATCCTTTGCCATTTAAAAGTGAGCAGTAATTTTTATGAAATTACTTATCAAAATGATTTGTATTTTTGGAACTGTCACTTATTGTCGTTACCATTTTTAAAAACAAAGTACTTTATTTTTTCTTGGAAAATTTTTGGCATCAAATAACTTATAACGAATATTATGTACAACTTACACTAAGGTGAAAAGATTTTAGAGCTAGCTAGTATTTTTTAAGAAAACGGATGACAATTATTAGTTTTTGTTTACCTAAAAATTAAACTAACAAAGAAAAAGTATTATAAAGCTTTTACAAATAGGGCGGTGTATGTTTTTTATTTGTTAGTATTGTTTTTCTTACTGATAAAATGTTTTACGTGATAAAAGACAGTTAGTTTGTATAAAGAGTCGTGATTAAAATAGTTTAATGATTTATAGATTTAAGAGGGAAATAAAAATCGTTCGATGTTATACACAAGGCGATTTTTAACGATGATAATCTAGTACATGTTTTGGGAAAGTACTAGATTGGCAAGTATGTAAAGAGATCTAGTACATTTTTAATTAAGTTTTCTGCACGTTTTTGGTACTTTTAATTAAAAAACACCCTGTATACAATAATAATTATCTTATAAACAAACAACTCTTTACAAAAACCCTGTAGGTCGCATTATTTCGAGCTTAGTATCTACTGATCTTGATCGGTTGTTTTTAGACAAGTACGATTATCGAAAGGATAAACATGGCGACGTGGGGAGCGATGACGTAGGCGGCGCTCACTTGGATGTCGCTCTCCTTCAGGAACGGAGCGTCGATGACGTGGATGATGCCGTTCGTGCATTCGACGTTGGGACGGAAAACTGGGATTTTTTCGCCTTTCCATACGATGATGAAAGCTGAAAAATAACGTAGGTTTTAGAATATATGTTAACATATACACCATGTCCCACGTAAGGCGGGCATTACAACTTTATGAAAAATAAATTAATTTGTGTTTTCGTCGATTTCTGGGTATTCATAATCGAATATGCTATTTTAAATTTAAATAAAATGATATCTGTGTAACTTTCGGTTATACCGGAAGTGGCCACTAACTTCGTATTCTTTATGAAATTCTGTAAACAATAATAACCCATTTGCCTATTTGAATTCTGGCGGATTTGGCGTTATTCCATTTTTTCAATATGTTTAGTCATCAGTAGACATTTTCTTAAAGTCGTCTATCTCAGGTAGTATTTCTAGCAGATACTTGACATTTTAGGGTAGTAGATATAATGTACTTTTTAAAAATATTTACTTGTACATCGTTTGTTGTACGGGGGTGATTAAAAATTATTTTTAAAAATAAAATATTTTAAACATGAAAAACATTTTTATTTTAAATGGAACACCCTGTATATTTTTATATCATTTTGTTCGTAAAATTATTCTGCATCTATCCATATAAGCAATGAATTCCCTATAAATACCTCTCACCAATTTTAAGGTAGTTCACTCGTAATACGGCTTTTCTTAAGAGTTCAATAAAATTGAAATATAATATTAATGAAAGTGTCTTTTACGTAACTAAAAAACATTATATTTTTTGACCGTATGTGAAACGAGATATTAACAATCAAAATGTGCATAGTTAACACTGTTGAAGCCTGTTATGTTCACCCCAAACAGCACAGTACGTCTTAAATACGTACAGTTTTGGTACTGTACACGTACAGGACGTAAAATGTACGTTTCAAACCAGTACGTACAGAAAAATACGTACTAAATACGTTCCTAAGTGTACGTAATCCTGGTTTTTACCAAATTCTTGTTGAGCGGAGGCCGAAAAATGCAAAGAAGAAACACATAATTTATTTAACCTAACCTAAACTCGCCCGTTTTTTAAAGAAATTATTCTTTCTTGTGCCTTTCTTCTTGCAAGCAACCACGTTTCAACGGTTTCAACAGTTTGTTTGGTTAGTTTTTTATGTTTAAGGTTTTAACAAGACAGTTTTTTAGACTTTTTAGTGCGTGTCATAAATACATAGTTTCGTAATTTTATTCTGGTGAGTGGTTCTTTTTAATTTAAAAAATTATATGTAATAAATATTCCATCTCATAGTAAACATTACAAAAATGCTATAAAACAATTGAAAAGGTTTAAGAAAATGAATAAAGAAGAGATATCAAATATTTTAGACAAAAGTGATATTATTACAGACCCTGGATAATTTAATTTTGGATTTTGTCAAAAAGTGTATGGCTACCTTAATAATTTATCAGCTGGTAACAAAATTTGTTAATTAATTTAATTATAGTTGGATGTAGTTGCAGTTAAGATGTTTTGATTTTTTTTTTATTTTTGCATGTCAGTTTCCATAAAGTTGTTGCATTTAAAAACCCTCTATATCCAATTACAATTATTTTTGTATCTAATAAAATTGTGTACTTCCAACCATTGGACTTCAAAACTGACGGAGATCTAGTTTAACAAAAAGAAATATAGAAGTTACTATATTATAGAGCAGTGGCAGGAACGAAATGAATTTCAAAGTCTTAATGAGAGAGATTACATCCAGGAGTTTATTGACAATGATAATTTTGAGCCGTAGAAACTATCGCTTGTTTACTCTACATCTTTTTGTAATATTGTTTTTATTATATAATCTCATAAAATATTCTTTATAAAAAACACTAAGTTTTTAATTTGATATTATTTCTTTGCAGAAGGTGCTATAAAAGTAGCAAATGCAAAGAGAAGAAGATTGCAGAACAGGAAATTGTAAGATGGCTAAGAAGAGCTGATGATCGCCTAAAACTTTCAAAAAAGATAGACAGCAAAACAATTTAAATTATTCTTTTAATGTAAAAAATTAAATAAATACAAATTAACTTGTTTACTTTTCTTTACATTGCACTAATACGTACATTATACATCATAAGTAAGTACCAATAAGGACGTAAAGTATGTCTAGAATATGTACACTCTATTGGAATAAGTACATAGTACGTACATAATAAGTACACAGTAAGTACACAGTAAGTACACAGTAAGTACACAGTAAGTACATAGTAAGTACATAGTAAGTACATAGTAAGTACATAGTAAGTACATAGTAAGTACATAGTAAGTACATAGTAAGTACATAGTAAGTACATAGTAAGTACATAGTAAGTACATATTAAGTACATAGTAAGTACATAGTAAGTACATAGTAAGTACATAGTAAGTACATAGTAAGTACATAGTAAGTACATAGTAAGTACATAGTAAGTACATAGTAAGTACATAGTAAGTACATAGTAAGTACATAGTAAGTACATAGTACCTACACAGTACGTACAAATTATGTACATTAAATAAGTACATAGTACCTACACAGTATGCACAAAGTATGTACATTAAGTACATACATAGTACGTAAATTAAGTAAGTAAGTACATACACAGTACGTAGATTAGGTACGTACTACGTACGTATCATCGTTTGTATGTATTATGTACGTACAATGTATGTACTTTACTGTGGGTACTTAACGTCCCATCAGTACGTTCATAGTACTCCTAAGTACTTATGTGTGTTTGCTGGGACAAGCAATGCATTTATTTCAAGATATCTCGAAAACGGTTCTTACTATATTTTTTAAAACTAATGTAAATCAAAAAGTTGTAAAATTTCCTAAAAAAAACGCTGAATTTTTTCACCGTTTTGGTAAAAAAATATAGATTTTTTTAAAATAAAAATATTTTTAAAACAGTCGACGCGTAGTGGGATACAATGATTATAACTTGGCAACATTGCAATCGCTACATTTGACGTGCGGTAACTCAAATGGCTGTTAGATTACTTTAGGCATGTTTTGATTCTTTCGGAAACTACCTAGTTCAGAATCACTGAATTACACTCGATCATCTAAGAGGTTGCTGTAACCTCGCGAAGTGTTCTTGAAAAATTAATTCGTCCACTGTATTTGACAACTGGAATCGACGGTTTTATTTGAACCAAAAACAAACCCTTTGTAAGTAATTACGTAATGTAGGATTAAAAATTAATCAAAATACATTATTACGGATTTTCAATAATAGTTTAAATTAGAATAACAAAGAAAATAAAAACATTTTTTATTAATTGAAATAATCTCAGTAGCTGCGTTTAACATTGCACTAGAACATTAAAAAATTATTTGGAGTGATTTGGAGTGAGGGTAGCCATATGTGAGTAGTAGGGATTAAGTATAAGGGGTTAAAGAAAAGGTCCTTTATTTCTCACAAGTCAATTTTAATTGGCGATCGGTTTCGAAGCTATTACTTCATCATCAGGCACACCTAAATGGAATGTCAAGGAATCAGTTGTAATAAAAACAATTATAAAAGTATGAACAGACATTAATATATACAAAATAACAGAAAAAACACAAAAGAAAATTATTAGTATTTTTTACTTTCTCATTCCCAATTTAATATTTTTACTATCAATAAATTGTGCCACCGCCACCTATACTCACTTTCAGTAAACTAACACCTTTTTTAGTACACTATTATCCGCTAAATTTAAAATTTACAGTTTACTGCACTAATTCGTTAAAATCTAGATAGATGTCATGGGAGTCTGATAATCTCATTTTTACTTTTGATTTGTAATTAACGTTATATTCTTTAATTTTTTTTTAACTGTTTGTGCTTGTAAAAACTATTTTGAGTTGTTTAGTTAATAATTGTCTTACATGTATTTTAATTATTAATTTATTCAATCAGACATCTTGCGGTTTAACCTAACCTAAAAATATTTTTTAAAAAATACTATTGTAGCATTGTATTTAGATCAACTAGTAAAACAATACCAATGCAAATTATCTTGGAGGACAACGGACAGTATCAATAGATGGCAGCAAGCTCCGTGGTGTCAAAGTCATGTCTTTTGTCGTCTTCGAAACGAACGTAATTTCTCTATTTACTAATAGATGGGCCCATAATCGATTCAGAATATTTGTTTTAAAAATGGAATATACGAGTTTAATTATGCTTATTGAACATTTATTTACGATTTATTATCATTTTAGAGAATATAAACAATAGTAATTTAAATTTAGCTCTCTACCCATATGAATTTAAAAATTAAGAAAATTTTATGTATATAGAATTCTGTACTCAATGATCGAGGAAGTGCTAGCGTTCGGGCTATTTTGATGAATTTCTAACAGATGTTGCGACAGAATTGCCTCCAATGAAACGTCCATAAGGTTGTTCTACTATCTTCTCTAAATACAATGATTTTAGGTATTACATGACTTTTTTAACTCGTTTGTTAAACTTTATGTAGCACTTCCTTTATGGAAATAGTCAAGGTGAGTCAAGGTCATTGTTTAATTTTCCTTTGTGTTTTTTCTGTTATTTTGTATATGTTAATGTCCGTTCATACTTTTATAATTGTTTTTATTACAACTGACTCCTTGACATTCCATTTAGATGTGCCTGTTGATGAAGTAATAGCTTCGAAACCGGTCGCCAATTAAAATTGACTTGTGAGAAATAAAGGACCTTTCCTTTAACCCCTTATACTTAATTAAAAAATTATTATGACGCAGTCACAAATTTCTATAGGCATACACACTCACTTGATACCCCACCATTCATATATTCGCGACGTTGCCCGATGGATTTTACTTGAAATAATAACGTATCCGTATATATAAGCTTACATGTGTTGTGTACAGTTTCTTACAAAAATAACATTTTTTAACATTGAGAATTTCGAACTTTTGGTATTCACCATTAGGCGATAATTTTGTGTACGACTGTCGCGAGTGAACTACCTTAAAATATCATTTCGATTGTGTATAACCAGTATAATGCGTTTCAGTCGAAACTCCCCACCGTAGATAAATGTTGACTAGTTTTTCGATTTTTAATTCTACTCAGTAGCGCATCCATAGTTTAAGTCGGGAGGGATGTAGTGGTAATAAAGTTTGAGGGGTAGGATAGTGGTAATATTTAGGACTTTATTTTTTAAAATAATACATTTTAGTACCTATAAAAAGTTAAAAAATTCTTAGGGGGCACTTTCCCCATTATCCTCCCGTATATGCGCCCCTGATTCTACTCAATGGTTTGATTTCAAAAATGTATAGAGTTTAAGAGTCAGTTGCCACTTAGTTAATCGCCTATACTGCAAGGGTTTATGATTTTGTTTTGTTTTTTTGATAACGGTATAACATGCACCTAAAAATATCACACTATCCCTATATTTTTCTTTTCCAACATCAGATAATAAATAATAATTTAAGTCTGCTTTAGTTTTAGATCCATTTTGGTACAAGGAATTGTCGCAAAAACAATTCTGTAAACTGGTAAGATTAGAATAGATATTTTGATTTAAATAAGAGATCAGCATAATATTATGTATAAGCAACTAAACGATTCAGGTAAAACAAATGATAATTCATTAATATAAATAATAAAAAGCATCGGTTCCAAAACAGATCCTCGAGGAACTTTAATTTTATTTGCTAACTGAACAGAAAGGAAGATTCTGTCGGTATTTTGATATTTATATCAATTATTAACAGACTGTGTTCAATTGGAACATTATTATGATACAAACCATTTATGTTGTTCACTTCTAACTCCCATAACGTTAATTTGTTCGTGTATAACTCGTTGTATCACTTTTGTACCCACTTTATAATAAATACATAAATTATTATCTCCGTTTTTGAAAGAACAACTAGCAATTCTACTAACTAAAAATCTAAATTAAATAAGTGCGTTAGTTCTTCTTGTTCAAGTCAATCTCACAAAGTGACCTATCTCATTTTTTCTAATTTTACAGGAAAGCAATAATTTCAAGTTTTGTGCTGCGCTTGAGTCAGGAGATAAGTCCCTCACGAAAGTTTCTGTTACAACTTGAGTTACGCCAGTTTGTGAGAAGGAAGATATATTAAAATAGTCTATCTACAGTCGTATCTTAAAAACTACATTTTTTGAGATACGCCAGTTTGTGAGATTGACGACAAAGTGTTCTTTTTTTGAAATACGTGATCATAATACAGTGCTGCCTATTCTTTCACTAAAGCAAGTGAGATGATATTTCAACAGTAAATTCGACTGGGTTTTTACGCAAAAGTCGCAGTAAAAAGTTATTTTTAAATACGAGGGCTGTTCGATACATTCTAATTCTAATAATTTTTTTATGAGACAAATAAAACTCAAAATCTATCTTTATCTATTTCTTCTGAGATTATTCTTTTAGTCTAAGTGTTGGCTGTACAAAATGGAACAATAGATAGTTATTTTATAGTTTATAGATTAAAAAAAATGGTCTATTTATAATAAAATTTCTGAATAATATGAGTTTTATAGTGTTTGCGGGTTCATCAATAAAAATACTAAAACCTCAGTAACAGTAGGTTTATTAAAAAGTAAAAAGAAATGGTAGGAATCACCTCTAGTTCTAGGTTCCTCCTCTCAGGCATTGCCCCGATGCGGATATAATCGAATATGCGGATGTTACCGATGACAGTCTGACATTTATCAATTATACTGACTACGTTCGAACGTATCTGAATATACGTTCGACACTTGACTACATATAACTACGATTCTTCAGCTCATAACAATTAATATTAATATTAAAAGCCTAATTGAAAAAAAAATTAGGGTATTAATTGTTAAACTCCAGACTATACTGGTGTACATTGGTTTTGGGCACCCTTCAAAATAATAACACGTTTCTGGTACAACAATTTTAATTTTTTGATCAGCCCTCGTACTGCAGAAAACGAAATGATTTTTAGAATGAAATTGATGCTATTTTCAGATTTTTTTTGCTCAACAAGCCTTGTGAAAAAGTTTTTTGTTTACTTTTTCGACTAAAAAAAACTTACATGAACTATCTGAGTTTGGATCCACTGTAAAAAATTATAAAAAAAATAAAGCGAAAGCTGTAGTAATATTATTAGAAAACAATTGTAATTTATAAAAAAAATAAATGTAAAGAATTAAAATCAAATGTTCAGGGTGGTAAAAATACGATAATTGAAGACAAATACAGGTATCTTCAGTTTAAAATTAAATCTAAATAGCAGGGGTAGATGAAAGTAAAACATTGTAAAATCAAAATAAGGACTAAAAACGATAAAGATAGGCGAATAGATATATAATCCGCAGTCATAGAATCCCAAACAAGTAAGTAAATAGCAAGGGAAATATGGGCGTTTAAAGAAAATCAGAAAAAATCGACAGATCCCCTTCTTATTTCTGGATTTTCATTTTGTTATTTCATTGTTATTTTTAAAGTAATTTTTAATATAATTTTTAATATAATTTTTAATATAATTTTTAATATAATTTTTAATATAATTTTTAATATAGTTTTTAATATAATTTTTAATATAATTTTTAATATAATTTTTAATATAATTTTTAATATAATTTTAAAAGTAATTTTTAATATAATTTCAAAAGTAATTTTTAATATAATTTCAAAAGGTATTTCTAAAGCAATTTTTAAAATAATTTTTGAGTCATATTTAAAGTTAAAGTAATTTTTAAAGTAATTTTTAAAGTAATTTTTAAAGTAATTTTTAAAGTAATTTTTAAAGTAATTTTTAAAGTAAAGTAATTTTTAAAGTAATTTTTAAAGTAATTTTTAAAGTAATTTTGAAAGCAATTTTGAAAGTAATTTTGAAAGTAATTTTGAAAGTAATTTTGAAAGTAATTTTGAAAGTAATTTTGAAAGTAATTTTGAAAGTAATTTTGAAAGTAATTTTGAAAGTAATTTTGAAAGTAATTTTGAAAGTAATTTTGAAAGTAATTTTGAAAGTAATTTTGAAAGTAATTTTGAAAGTGATTTTGAAAGTAATTTTTAAAGTAATTTTTAAAGTAATTTTTAAAGTAATTTTTAAAGTAATTTTTAAAGTAATTTTTAAAGTAATTTTTAAAGTAATTTTTAAAGTAATTTTGAAAGTAATTTTGAAAATAATTTTGAGAGTAATTTTGAAAGTAATTTTGAAAGTAATTTTGAAAGTAATTTTGAAAGTAATTTTGAAAGTAATTTTGAAAGTAATTTTGAAAGTAATTTTGAAAGTAATTTTGAAAGTAATTTTTAAAGTAATTTTTAAAGTCATTTTTAAAGTAATTTTTAAAGTCATTTTTAAAGTAATTTTTAAAGTCATTTTTAAAGTCATTTTTAAAGTAATTTTTAAAGTAATTTTTAAAGTAATATTTAAAGTAATTTTTATAATAATTTGTAAAGCAATTTTTAAAGTAATTTACGAAATCAATTAATTTGAAGATATTTTTTATTGCCCATCCCCCTGAATGCATATTGCATCCGTATATGGATTTGAATATTCATTATTAAGTATTTAATTTCAAAGTTATTGGATTCTGTAGTGAAAATTGTCCCAAATCGGAGCCAAAATCCTTTTCTGTCCTTACTAATAACGCCACCGTGATTTCACCATGCAGAAAAGTATAACATAGGCGTACTCATTTGCCTGTTTGTGCAGAATTTAATGTTAAGTCGATATTCAGTGAGGGGTACCCTTTTTGAAAAAAAATTACATTTTCATATTCGTATTTGTATCTTGATTAGTTCTAACCGACCAATATCCTGTAATATACCATTTTGTAGGTCTCATTGAGCACATTCCGCACCACTATCGGTTTGTTGAGAAAACTTCAATAATGTCGTAGATATATGTAAGTTTGTAGACATTTTGTTTTGAGTAATTTTTTTAACCTCCGTCCATATTCTCCAATTCACATCGAATTAAAATATAAATTAAAATAAAAATCCCTAAAATATTCGTAAAATTTAATACTCACTATTATCTTGTCTTTCTTCGACATACAATCTCAAGGATCCTCTAGCTGTAGGCAGTTCAACCTCCCGCTGTTGTCCGAATGTACCGAAAGTATTACTATCATTGGACAATTGCTTGATTTTCTCCATCGAATATGATTCAGCAGCGATGACTAGGTGGCGTTCGAGGGTAGAAGTAGCCTAAAAATTTAATAAACAAAAGTTGTGAACCACAGTAATAGTTTTACAATTTTAAAATATGTGAGAATACCTTTTTTTATAAATAAATAAATAAATAAATAAAGTAAATCAGCACCTGTCAAAATTAGGTTCATATTTTTACTTACGTGATAAGCGTATTCTTTCATAAAAAGCTTCTTAATTGCCGAAGGCAGCGCCACTTTTGCGTCAAACCAAGCTTTATCGCGCGGTACGAAGAATGTAAATCTTTTTCTCGTGTCATTCAGTTGATTATTGAAACCTTGCAGGTTGCCCAAAGTGTAGGTAGCCCTAAAAATAAAAGAAAATACTGTTTTAGATTAATCAGGGCTCTAAAAAATTGAGTTTACGAGACAATATTCGAGCAAAAGTGAATTAATTTGAATTTTAACGCGCAATACGAAGTGGGACGATGTGATTGGTCCACGGCCATCTTAAAAGACAGCTGGAACAAACAATAGCTTGCGGAAATGTTGAGTTGAGTTAAATTAAGAATAGATTATACAGCTCTATTGTCTGCATGTCTCTATACGAGTATACCTCCTCCAACAGTCCATACTATAACAGAAATATACTATTCGTATTCAAAAAACATTTTTAAATAGTTACTTCCTCTTATTAATCTATTTTCTGTCACTTTGTTCTGACAGTTAGCTTTATATGCTCTATAACCACCCAACGAATTCTGGATAGCCTCAATAATCTGTAGACACTATATTTTAAAACGTAGAAATCATGTTAAGAAATGAAATACATAAACATACCAATATTAAGAAAATTGATAAGTATTTCCTCATCTCATATTAAAAAATAGGCTACAACTGTCTTCTATAACACTCTAGGATTTTAGAGACGCCTCAATAGATATAAAAACCATTAGTTCATTTTTAACTCTTAATCAGAAGCATGTTCAATTGATGCTACGGTTAATCACGCTACAAATAGCACGTGAGCTACAAAGTTTTTCCTTCAATTGGCCATGATTGACAAATGCCGAGTTTGAATATCCACATCGGATGCATCTGAGATGTGAATTTTTTATCACGTGATAGAGAATTAGATCTGAATGTAGATGTAATAAACAAACGCTCTAGACTTTATTGGTCACGTGATAAAATGACAATGACAAGTTAGAAGTTTATACTTTTTAAATTTGACTTTTGAGACTACAAACCAACCTAAATTTAAAATGTAAACAAAAATTAAACAAACTAATCACTTTTATATTCATGCTAGCATAAACAAAGGATAAATTGACAAACTCTGCTTCACAGAACACTTACTTGCTGGCATGGAACGAACATCTCATTCACATCTCATTTCAAATCGAGATGTAAAAAATGTAACCTGGACAGGTACATCTCGGATAAACAAACGCAGATGTAGATATAGTAGATGTGTCCGATGTGGATAAACAAATGCTCAAGATGTAAAAAATGCATCGGATGTGGATATTCAAACGCCATATTAGCCACAACATTTATTTCACGAAAAAAATGGACTCACACTTTACATACATAGACTAGAGGAGCTTATTCGTACCAAAAACATTTCTAAATAAAATACGTACTTGAGCATGGGATCAGTTCTAAGTTTATCCAACACGGTACTGTAGGGCACACCAAGAACTCTGTCGATAATGTGGATGATGCCGTTGGTTGCCGCCAAATCGGGCTGGATGACAGTTGCGTTGACACCGCCACCTTCGACTGTCAATGTTCTGTTGATATCTGAAGTTATGACGTTGAAGTAGAGGTTTTTGCCTTTGTTTAGCGTGTTTGCTTGAAATACCTGAAAAAAGAAATAGGTACATTTGTAAGTATGTAGAACATGTTACCTATTCGTATTCACAAAACAATTTTAAATAGTTACCTAGGTGTAAATTCTTAAATATAGAAATGTCAACGTCAATTCAGAGAAAAAGTTGATTTGAACGATAATGTAACTTTTTAACCATGATTAGTAAAATTCGAATAAATGAGGTTATGTCTTCTCAAATCGTTAAGAAAATTCACAGTGTCTTTATCAGATAAATTCTTTAACAAAAAAACTCAAATCAGCTAATTTTTGACTCTGTTCTAAACATGATCTTGAAGGGAAGTTTGGCATTGGCATCAACACCAAGACCATAGCGTGTTTTGTGTAATAGAATTATGGTACGTAGATCAGCAGTTTTTTTAAACATTCCTATGTAATTTTGTAATGTATTGACATGCGAAATAATGGTACAGAATTAGAATTAGACAAATTTGTGGAATTATTTGAAGGTTTTGTACATTTTTATTTGATCTAATTTAAGTGCAATTAATAAATTACAAATTTGTGGTTTTATGCTAAAAAAAAGCACTGTAGCGATCTGTGAGTAACTTATTCCACTCTTTTATACAAATAATTTTTAAAAAGAATATTATGTAAGTATTTTATTTTTAAAATATTTTTTTATTTGAAGCAATACTATATGAAGGTGTTTATTAACAGGTTTATCAAATAAACTCTACAAAAGAAACTTTTTTATTGTTTGTTACATGTAATTTTTTTTTTTAAAACGCTTTTCAATGTGAAAGTTATTGGAAAAATTTGTTTTCATTATGAATTTTGTATGCTTATGTTAATAATTACGATATGTATACTTGACGTTTATTTTTCTACTCTATTATTATCAGTATTCCAATAGGTTATGGGCTAAGAATTTGCTTAATCAATGTCACGTTTATTTTTCTACTCTATTTTATTAGTAGTCCAATACAAGTCAAAATTTATCATTATATTGTACAAATCACATTCCTCAAAAGGACAGACATGAAATTTTTTTGAAGGCAACAAATTTTTTAAAAAATTTGAAGAACTACCTGATATTTGATTTTTATCTTAAAAAAAGGGGAAGTATCATTTCTAAACATATTTCATCAAAAAGTAAAAAATATTTCTTGGCGTCAATGTATATTGGTTATTTTTATATAACAATAATTTTAAGGTAATAAATTATATAAGATAAATACAAATAATACCCCAGGATCAAAACATTTCGCGAAAACCCAGCCAGATATCGCCTGTCTCTTACATTTCTTTATCCTCGGGCTCCAATTATCCTTTTTTAGTCCTTTCAGTTATCCCTTTTTCATTCCTTTCAATCTCTCCACGCGGTATTTATACGAAAATCTTTGTTCCGAATAAAAATTGGATTACACAGTGGATTTACTACAATACGTTTTACACAAGACCGCCCATTTCCACTGATCGAGATTCTTCTTAGCACAGAGGCGTTTCTATCGAGAAGTCACGCATCCTAAAGCTGTAAATTGGCTTCTACGAGAATATTTTTAAAAAAGTTTTGCTTGTCTTTGTCGGAATGTATGGACAAAAAAAGCTAATAGCAGAGAGCCGTGAAGGGATCTATCTCGAAGCAAATAGGCAGGGGAAGGATGTACAAAATGACACATTTTATAGAACCAAAAAAATGTAATGTAAGAAAATGGTATTTTTTTAATCAAATCTTACAAAATATATACTAATCTGTTTGAAAGATTTGAAAGATAAGACTTTAACTTAAAAACGTAAAATATAGACTTTTAGTCAAAAAAATAAAAAAAAAAAAAAAATGTAAACTAGGTATGGAGCTTCAATCAGGATTTGGATGAGTTCCAGGTTTGTTTTTTTGAAGAACTTTGTGCAAAAATTCTTCACAGAGCGTTTGTGGTAGTCATTTAAGCCACTGTAGTAATTGTTTGAATTCTAAATTGAAGTTCCCACGTATAGAATTTACAAAATATGCTGGAGATTTAAAAGGGTGGATTCTATTTTGGAGCCAGTTCAAGAGGATTCACGATGATTCAAGAACTGAAGCCGAAGATAAATTTCAATACCTGCTTCAAGCTACAACATCGAAATCCCGAGCTCGCCAACTAATTGAAAGCTATCCGCCCAGTGCAGAAAATTATGGCAAAGTTATTATTAATTTAAAAACAAGATTTGGAAATGAAGAACTATTGATTGCATTTTATGTTCGTGAATTGTTAAAATTAGTTCTAAATAATATAAAGACTAAAACTAAGCTTGCCACTCTTTATGATTGCCTTGAATTCAGTTCTTGGAGACCTTAGGAGTAACTTCTGATAAATATGCCTCCATGTTTTTCCCTTTGGTTGAGTTATGTCTTCCCGAATATCTTCTGAGAGTGTGACAAAAAACCAGAGTAATTCAGAATTTGATTCATCTTCAAGCAGTTACAAATATACAAATTTGCGATTAACCAAACTCATGGGTTTTTTGAAGAAAGAGGTCGAAGTAAAGAAAACAGCGTAGCTACATCTTGTTTTGTATTTCTCCCCTTTTTCTTCTTTAGAATATGCATCTTGCCAAGTTTTAAACACTGATAATTTAGATTTAGCAATAAAATCTGATTTTGGAGTTTTAATATTTTTATTAGTTCCCGAAACAGTGGCCTTTTTTGCTAGTATATCCACTTTCTCATTGTTACTAATACCTACATGAGATTTTATCCACGCCAACGAAATTTCTTTATTTTGTTCCAAACATTGGTAGTAAAGCTTAAGAATATCTGAGGCTATATAGTTGGTAGGACTGTTAACATTCCATTTTGCAAAATATTCTACTGCACTCTTACTATCAGTAAAAATAACATACTTAGATTTATTTTCTTGAAGACATACGTTAAAAACTTCTTTTATAGCAACAAGTTCAGCATTGTATATTGACATTGTACTGGGAAGTTTAAATGAAATTTCACAATTTTTGTTAGTATACAAAATTGCACATCTTAATTGGTTCCCAATTTTAGATCCGTCCGTATATACCTATGTTTTCAAATGTATTCCATTTTTTTATTAAATCTTCTTTAAATGCGTTTTTAATCACTAGAGGGTTTTCGTTCAGTAGATTTTTGTTTATATATGTTTTCAATAGGGTTGTTAAAGCTGAAAAATGTAAGGACAATAGTGGAATTTTATTTTGTTGATGGGAGGTCTGGAATCATTTCAACGGGTAGATAAAAAAAGTCTCTACTAGTTAAGGCAGTTTTTTCTTTGACCAATACTTTCCAGTTAAACACAGAGAAGATAAATTGGATAAAAGGGGGAGAAGAACCGAATTTTTCGACCTTTGATTTATTAAAAACTTTTCGGATAAAAATATAGAAATATTTGACATCAAAGATGCTCCAATTGATGTGTTAATAGGTGCCGATATCGCTGGTAAACTTTTTACTGGTAAAAAATATAATTTACCTACTGGTTTGGTAGCTATGGAGACTCAACTAGAATGGACTCTTCTTGAAAAGATTTCCAATGTTTATTTAAATACCTCCAGCATAAGTTCGAGTATGATGTCTCTTTTATGTAAAAATGACCAGATAACGAATTTATGGAGTCTTCATATTCTTAGAATATCCGATCCTGCTGATAATAAGTCCAAGAAAGAATTAGAACTGGTTGTGATGCAACATTTCCATGACACAGTTCATATCGCTGATGAAAGACACGAGGTTGCTCTACCTTGGATAGAAGGCCATCCACCAATTCCAAGTAATTTTTGTTTGACTAAACGACGTCTAGACAACTTAATGGTAAAGTTAAAGAAGGATGGATACTATGACGAGTAAAACAATGTTATCTCGGAATGGCTAGCTGAAGGCGATATTGAATTTGTACCCAGAGGTGAAGAAATGAAGGAAACTGTCCATTATTTATCTCACCGACATGTGGTAAAACTTGATAGTACTACAACAAAACTAAGGCAAGTTTTTGATGCTTCTGCACGAGAAAAAGGTTTCCCTTCTTTAAATCAGTACTTAGAAAAAGGAATTAATCTTTTAGATTTGATGCCTTCTTGTTTAATAAGATTCCGACTTTCTAAAATTGGGGTAATTGCTGATATAAGAAGGGCCTTTCTTCAAATTGGCATCCTAGAGGCTGATCGAGACTTTCTGCGTTTCTTATGGTATGATAAAGATCGTAATCTTATTTATTTTCGACATGCAAGAGTTGTTTTCGGGGTGACTTGTAGCCCTTTCCATCTCAATGCTGTCTTACAGTTGCATTTATATCGAGTTTTGGTAGATTGTCTTGAGAGTAACTCTCAGTATTCTTTTTCTGTTATTGATAAACTTCGTAAGTTTTTATGTAGATAACTGCGTCTGCAGTGTTGACTCAAAAGAAAAGTAACCGGTGAATGAAGCAAAATTTGACTTACGTCTCTGGGAATACACTGTATTCAATGATGTTATACCTGACACGTTCATGTCCAATCTTTTGGGGTTGAAGTGGAATCGTATTGAGGATACTTTAGAAATTTGTTTTGATTGGTTCAAGACTTCTGATTTGCAAACTATTACTAAACGAACCATTCTATCCTTTGTGAACAAAGTTTTTGATCCTCTTGGATTTTTATGTCATGTTCTTTTGTTAATAAAAATATTACTGCAGAAGATGTGGTCTCTTAAGATAGGATGGGACGCCGAAGTACCTCTTGAAATTAAAAATACATTTGTCGATTGGATTCATAATCTTATTTGTTTAGTTAATTTTAAAATTCCTAGATATCTTTCAAATGCATTGTTGTCTACGTTAGAAATAGGTTCAAAAAGTCTTCATTTTTTCATGGATGCCAGCCAATATTCTTATGCTGCAGTAGTTTTTTGAGGACTGAACATAATAAGGGTTTCTGCTCTATCCAGCTTATTCAAGCTAAGAGTAGACTAGCTCCAATTCGGAATAAGATGTCTACTCCACGACTGGAGTTATTAGCAGCTACCATTGGTGCAAGACTTTTATCTTCATTATCTGCTTTTGATGATGAAATTTCGGTTTATTGTTGATCAGATTCAAGTACAGTGTTAGCTTGGATTCATCGTGAGGACCAATGGAAGCCATTTGTATGGAATATAGTTAAAGTGATTCAGTCGTTGACTAAGAAAGAAGATTGGTATTTGTTGCAGTCTCGATGGTGGGAGGATCCTTTTTGGTTGCTGCAGGAACAGCAGTTTTGGCCTAGTGAAAATTATGTCGCTGACGAATCAACAGAGGAAGAATTAAATCGTTCTACTATATCACATGTTAATGTTAAACATGACTTCTCTTGGTATTACAGATACCTCTCGGATTATCAAAAAATTGTAAATTTGATTGGTTGGATTCTTAGGTTTATAAATAATTGTCGTCGAGATAAGTTTCCTTCAGGTCTTTAGAAAATTTATTAGTAGAAGAGGTAGTATTGTATATAGCGATTACGGACCGAATTTTGTCGGGTCAGAAAATGCTTTTAAACGTATTAATTTTGATAACGTTGTGGAGTATAGTACTGCACAACGAATTTGTTGGAAATTTTCACCGCCAACTGCAGCCTGGTGGAGTGGTTGAAGGAAGCGATTAATTCGATTGTTATAGCAACTTTTACGTAAAACTCTAGGTACTACTTCGTTGTCGTTTGACGAGCTCTGCACAACGTTGTATGAATGTGAGGCTGTCATGAAATCTAGGCCCCTTACTTACGTTTGTGATGATGCTGAAGATCTGATACCATTGACTCCATTGATGTTCTTACAAGAAATAAGAGAAATAGGTGTTCCTGATATCGATAAAGTTGATGAATATCTGGGCCAGTTGATTCTCAGAAACAAAAGGTGTTGCCCTAAGGAAATTAATATTGGTGATGTACTAATCAGTAATGAAGGCATTAGGCGAATTAAATGGCCTTTAGCAGTGGTTACTGAACTTTTTCGAGGAAATTATGGAAATATTAGAGTTGCACGGCTTAGAACATCTTCAGGATTTTTGGCCACACCCATTAAAAGGTTATATTCTTTAGAAGTTCATTCTGAAGTAGAAAGAGATGATTTTAGAAAAGAATTAGAGCAAAGAAAACATGACGGTAATAAAGTAGAAGTAAACGATAAAGAATCGAAACAACAAAATATTAAAGATGTTAAAACTAGGTTTAGTCGTTATGGAAGACCCCTCCTGAAAGGTTTCAATTTTACGGTTGAATCATTTGAGAACTTCTCAATTTTTTATACAGAAGAGTAAACCAGGTAGGTCTTACTCATTCTAAACAATCAACTTCAAAGATTAGGTTAATAACTGTGACAAGTTAATATAATGAATTATAATTGCGTTCCATATTTTAACTTACGTTATATTTTTAACGAATTCGTTATAGAATTAACACTTTCAATGACTAAAAACAAAGGTGTAAAATTTTCACTAAAATTTAAAAATTTTTAACTATCCACTTCAATTGTTGAGCAGTATATAAATAGTATAATAAAATTAATATCCTCTACTCTTAAATTATGTTTAATAATAATAATTATGCCCTTCAAATGTTACTTATCTAATCTTTTTTGAATGTTTTTTTTTTCTGAAAATATTTGGACTAAATAAACAATATTCAGTGATTCTCACATGATAGTTCCAGATCCTGATTATCTTTTAATTCCTCATGCTGAAGGGAAATTCAATTAAATTAATCGAATCCACTTAATACGATAATTTTCAGCTGATATAATATTTTTCTCAAAGCTTTAGTTTTGTCACCACCGATATTTAAATTAACTGATTAACGATGGCAGCAACATAGAAACGAGGTTAATATAATGAAATTTGTCACTAATGGATTTCCCGATTCCCTCTCGCCATAGTGCCAGTAGTGGCCTAATCCCATAAACGTCCGGCTTGCTGTCCTTAATGCTGTTTCATTGGATTAACTACTGTTAGTCGCGGTGCCGGTCCATACACTGTCCGGGTCGTGAGCGAAAACGTTTGTTCTAGTGTGTGGACACCTAATTTTGTAAAAGTGTTTTAAAAACGACTTAAAATGAACACTGTGCACGTTGTAAAAGTAACATTAAACTGTTCAGTCAAAACCCTTACACTATATGAGAACAAAGTTATTTACTTAGATCAAGGTTGGATTATGCTGAAATGGATTTTTTATTCTATCATTCTCAAAATAGGATGGTTTTATCTCACTCTAACATTCAGTCATAAGAAATTGGGCCCAAATATTGAAGATTTCAATTTTTTTAATTCGTTGTGCCCATAGGATTGTTCAAAGTCAAAGAGAGAAAGGTCGAACATTATTTTAAAGTTGTTAGCAACAAAATGTAAATGATTAAATAAGAGTTTGTGAAATTGAACATTCATTATAATGACAGTTCTATCTTCTAGGATTTACATGTGGATAAATTTAAAGACATTTTGAATTAGGGTATATGTCCAGACCAAATTTCATGTATAACCGTTCTGTAATAAGGTTTTCCGTTAAATAGTATAATAACGAATAAACTATGTTTAAATGCTCTCATAGATCTGTTTTTTAAAACTTACCCTAGCTTGACTTTCCTGCAAAATCTTGTCAACGTACAATCTATTATCGACAACAAGATGCATCTTGAGTATATCCAGGAACCTTGGAGTATCTCTTAAAATCGCGTTCAGTGTCAAATCGCCTTCTAAGGCTCTATTGCAAGGAGCGAACAAGGTGATATCATGGCCTTTGTCCAAAGTCCTCAGGAAATCTTCTCCAGCCGGTCCTGCGTCTTTAATGGCGTTGAAAAAGTTGCTGAGGATTCTACCGTCTTGTTCCTAGAGTAAAAAGAATGGTTAATAATATTATGAGGATTTAAATTGAATGAGTTGTATTTATAAATATATTTAAAAAATGCGAACTAAAGTTGAGATATTGAAAAGATGTATGTGTTTAGACTTTGGTCGATACTTGAAAAGTGTATTTGTAGTATAAGCAAAAGCGTCACTTTTCAAATGTTAAATCCCATAAGAAATTCTAAGGTTTATCCTGGAGGAAACGTCAGAAAACGTCAGATAAGTATTTTTTGATTGATGAACCACCCTATATAAACACAAAATTTTTACTTTGAGCATGATCTTGAAAGGTCTCGATTTTCTCCAAAATGAACTTTAGAATTGCTTAAGGATTTTTAACATGGGAAAGTCCAAAACCGGCATAGAATATATACTAAGAGGGGTACACGTCGAACAACTTCGACAAATTGAGGGCATTTCAGGACATTCAGAATGTGCATACTGAAACGATCTCAGACACATGTTCTATATGTCCTTGTTGTACACATTTCGCATGTTCTATTATGTGTATGAACTAAACGTTTTTACAGGGTGTCCAAGTATATCTTTGTTATGTATATTGTTTATGACTCACATACTTATACTGCGCAAGAGAGTTGTTCGACACGCCCAATATAAGGCGCCGCCATTTGTAACTAGTAGCACATAGCCGCCTCCGACAAAAGATCTCACTATACGATATTTTATTTAAATAAATTTACTAAATATTTTGCCACACATGAAGATTTGAACAGATATAAAGAAAAAAATAGTTTTAGTTTCTGCAAAACAGCACTATTTTACTGGTCTAAACTCGTGTATTTTAACTATTTCACTTGACAAACGTTATATATTTAACGTTATATAACGTTATATATTTAACTTAATACTGAACTTTTAACTAAAAAACAAATTTCAGATTAGAAATTTATGATTTTTGGGACTCAATCTTGCAATTTATATAAAATCTGTTTAAAACGGGTCTGTCCTTTAAATATTTGCGAAAACTACACAGCTATCTAATCAAATTTCTTTTTCAAACTAGTTAAATTGTTCAACAGTTGTCTGTATAAAGATATTTCACATCTCATTCATATACATGAGTTTGAAAGGCTGGAGACAGTAATAATAATAATAATAATGTTTATTCATCTTTAAAAAAAATATATATACAATTACATAAAAATATAAATATAAATACAAAGGGCGAATAAACATAAATTATCACAAAAGTAGTGAAACCACTTGTATGTGATACAAACAATATAATCAAACAAACAATATAATTAATGCACCTCTTAAACAAAATTTTATAAAAATATGAATTTTTTGTTATAATATTTATTTATCAGCTGTGATACTAACATTCCACAAGGAAAACCTGTCTGTAGTCCGTCAATAAACAACTGACAAAATTTTAATTTTAGTTCAAGTGTGTTTTGTTTTTTTTTTTTTTTTGAGGATCTTAAGATGAGTATATAATTTTTTTTTATATTTATTTATTTTTTTTAAATAAAGTAATTTTCAATCATTTCATGTATCGTTAGTCGAGAGTGTTGTAGTATCCATTTTTTTATCTTTTTCTTGTACAGTCTTTTCGAATTAATAATTTTTATTTCTGTAGGTAGTCTGTTATATAATTTTGGACCCATGTACCAAAAACTTCTCTGGGTATTTGATTTATCGACTTTAGGTAAGATAAAAGTATGGAGCCTAGAACGAGTATTGTAATGGTATTCTTTCTTTTTCAGCTCATTTTTATTATAATGCTGTCGCATAAGAAGATTTTGACAGAAAAGTTGTCTAACATCAAAGAACTGACTCTCTTCGAAGAGCTGCTCTGTCGAGTAGGCATATGGTTTTTTCATTAAAATCTTTATAAGCCATTTTTGCGTAATATTTAATTTATTTATGTGACAATCAAGTGCACCGCCCCAAGCAATAATTGAGTAAGTTATATGGGTTTCAGCAAGAGCATAATATAATATCCTTAACTCATTCCATTTTAATATTTCTGACAAGAATTTGAATGTATGCAGTAACATTCTTAACTTTTTAGTAACAAAGTTGATATGAATATCCCTTTTTAAATGATTGTCTATATATATTCCCAAGTATTTGATATTAGAGACTGCTTTAATTTCTATTCCAATATTGTTGACATTAATTTCGATTTTGTTATAATTTGGTAAAGCATTAGCGTATGATGAAAAGGGAACAAAGAATGTCTTACTGAAATTTACCGTAAGAAAGTGTTGCTGAAACCAGTGAAATATATGAGGCAAGTCACTTTCAACTAATAATTTCAAAGATACCCAGTCAGTGCTTTCATAAACAATTGCAGTATCGTCAGCAAAACTGATAATGTTGCCATTAGAATTTATAGAAAATAAGTTATTAAGGTATATGCTAAATAAAATTGGCCCCAGTACGGTCCCTTGCGGAACGCCATGGTGGTTTAACTAACTAGATATAGGCGGGGTTGATTGTAGTTTATCCATCGCTTTGCAGCTTATAGGTAACTATTTCTGCATTTCAACGGAGAAATGCAATCATTGAGTGTCAGCCTCCTCGGGGCACCGCTGGATACGTTAATATTGCTACTGTAGGAACAACAGTACTGTCTAACTGAATGACACTTCATCAAAACCCAGGATAAGGTTTAAGGCACCGTTCTGAATGCCCAAAGACCGCTGAGAAAGCGGTTGCGAACGTTCCACTGGGGCACTTAGCGAAACCCCTTTATATCCAGCCTTGCCGGCGCATGCGGGGCTGTGCGCCATTCCACTGTCCCTTCCCTAGCTGCTCGTAGGATTTACTTGGTAGGACAAACAGCGAGAACACACCGCCTCCAAATCTGATCGTCCGTAGCACCACTTCTAGATGGATGGCTCAGCTGCTATCTACAAGAACTGCAGGAGATCATCTGCATCTAAATAATCAGAAGATGTCCACAAGGACTTCTATCCCCACTAATGTGGAATCTAATACGAACTTCTATGCAGATTGAGTGACCTCGATCTAACCTTTACAGAGTATGCCGATGACATAGTTATATTTGCTAGAGGAAAGTTTAGAAATATCCTGTGTGATGTAGTGCAAAGAGGACTAGAACACACCAAAAGATGGTGCCGTGAGGTGGGACTTAGTAAAGACTCCACGCAAACAACACTAGAAGCCTTTTCAAGGAAAAGACAAGTCAATTTCAAAACCATCCAAATAGACGGGATAGATATATATTAGAAAAAAGAAGTCAAATATATAGGCTGAATCCTGGACAACAATTTTCTCTGGAACATACATGAAAAGAAAGTAGTAAATAAGGCCACAAACGCCTAGTGGTATGCCGAACACACTGCAATGGATGCATATACAGAAATAGTGATATCACATACGAGGCTATAGCTTTGAGTAAGAGATCTAGTTTAGCAACTATGAGAGTAAATATCTAAAAATTACTAAGACTAGCCTTGTTTGCATTACTGGTGCAATAAGAACTTGTCCTAGGGGCTTAAACACCCTTTTTAGGACCTGAGCAGTTCTACGGTATCAGTAGTAGCACAATAATAGGAGAGATTAAAAAAGAATTGGACACTGAAAAAACCGGTCATTGGAACATTCTCTTGGGGCTAAGACAAAGAAAGATACTTCTGGGTGAATATAACCAGAAAAGATCAGTTACTTAGCAGAAAAAACCTAAGCATTGTAAAACGCATCCTTACTGGGCTTTGTCGACTCAAAGGACACCTTAGTAAACTGAGAGTAGAAGAAAATAGTGAGTGAAGAATTTGTGAGGAGGATGAAACCTCCATTCACATTATAATTGAATGTGTAGCACTCCAGAATCCAAGGGCACTATACCTAGGAGCATATCAAATAAAAGAGGGCGATTTACCCAATTTGAAGCCATAACAAATCCTACACTACACTACAGATAGGATTAGAAGGATCGTTATAGACATCGATCCTTGCTACATTAGCGATGGAAGTGGACACAATAGATTTTTCAGATCGCAGTGTATTAACACCCCATTCCCAACATTACAACATATAACCAGATATAACCAAGTCCATGTAAAGAAAATGTTCTGTTCTGTCCTGTGATCTTATTGGTCAGCAATAATAATTCTGACATGACAGTTAATCTCGACCAATCAAATATTACAATTAACTGCATTGCTTCATAACGAATATTAAGCTTAAAGTGGCAGATATAAAATCTTAGGTCTCCTGATACAATTAGTTACAAATGGCGTCGATATTCTTTGATTTCAAATGCAGTAAACCTGCGCAAACAACCTTATTTCGTATATTTATATAAAAAGGCGACTCGAAATAAAATGGAATTACCTTTAACATATTCTTATGAAGATTTAAATGAGAAAAATGTTGTTGACGCTATAATAATTGTTGTACAAATTATACAAGGAGTTTTGTAAGTACTTCTACTGGTGTTAGGATAATACTAATGCTTCCAATAAAGAATGGTCCTCTTAATGTCTTAATTACTGAAATATATTGTTATTTTTTAATATATAAATGATACACACTTAGGACTTGAGATGTGATTTGGAAGTTTTCGAATTGTAATTTTATAAATTAGAACATTTTGTTTTGCATGAAAACGTTTGACGATTGACTAAAAATATTACGGACAATACTTTATTAAGACACCAGACACCTATCTAAGTTTGTCGAAGTACTTTTGAGACAGCGGTATAAATAAAATTAATTTATAAACACTACATCTTTTCAATGGCTCAATGCTAAATCTATCGTTTTAGTAATATACATCAATAAGCATTTTTGTAACCAGTTTTGTATATTTACAAAAAAATCTGTCTATGAATTGTGGAAAGGGCAATAAAAATTAAATTAAAAAAAGTGATCTTGGAGGATGGCTATTAGATTTGCATTTTCTCTTTATATTTACTGCTAAACTTTTGATATTAAACTCAAAGTTCAATTATTTTTCTTTTTAGTTCATTTTTACGGCATTTTAC